GGATGCTCTTCCGGCCTTAAAAGTACTTGCCTGGCGCATGAACCTGCAGGCTTAATGATTCGAGGGAAGGACCCTCCTCCCTCTCTACCGCTTCTACTTTGGCTACATCACGCTCTCTTCTTCACTTTCTCACACACCTCTTCCCCTCTTATGTTGCTCTCTCATTTCCCTCGTCCTCGTCAATTCGACTCTCCCTGTCTATTCGTCATTCCCTACGTACTCCCACGTTCCCCCTCATTACCTCTTCCACTTATTTTCTGTGCATGGTTTTAAGTTTATTTTCTTAAACTAAAGCTTCCAGTAATCGTTCAGCGTATCAGGCGTACAGAAGTTGTGCGTTTGATGATACCGACAACAAATCGAGAGAGGTTTTGAGTTTACTAACGTTAGGGATCGAAGTCTTCTTGAATCAGAGCTTGCAGTAATCGTTGAACGTATCAGGTGTACACAAAAAATCGCGTTTGATGTACTCCTAATACCAGCAACGTATCCAGAAACGTTTGAATGAATTTAAATTTGCTGTTAGACGCTCAGAAGTGCAATGCATTAGCTTACAGTAAAAGATGAACGTATCAAGGGTACAAAAATTTCGCATTTCGTGCACTTTCGGTAAAGTAGCTTGGGCAGAAACCTTTAATTCGGTCTAAATTTTCTTAAGGATGCTCGAAAACCGACTACTGGTATGTGTTCGTAAACCAAAGCTACCAATAATCGTTGAATCTATCAGGCGTACAGAACTTTACCGTTTGATGTACTTCTGATACCGGCAACGTAGCCAGAACCGCTCAAGTAGGTTCAAATTTGTTTAAGAATGCTAGAGATTGAAGTCTTCCTGAATCAAATCTTCCAGTAATCGTTGAATGTATTAGGTGCACAGAACTTTTTGACGTTTCATGTACTCCTGATACCGGCAACGTAGCCAGAAGCGCCTAATTAAATTGAAATTTGTATGTGAACGTTAGGGATTGTAATATTTTTGAACCAAAGCTTCTAAGTAATTGTTGACGGTATGAGGCGTACAGAAATATCACGTTTCATGTACTCTCGATACCAGCAACGTACGCAAAAACGTTTTATTAAATCTTAATTTACTTAATGACACTAGGGAATTGAAACCTCTTTTATATCCTCTTAAACCAAGGCTTCCAATAATCGCTAAACGCATCAGGTGTACAGAACTTTAGCCTTTGATGTACTCAGGTACTCTTGATACCGGCAACGTACCAGAAGCGCTCAATAGCGATAGGGATTGAAATCTTCTTGAATCAAAGCTTCCAGTAATCGTTGAACGTGTCAGGCGCATAGACCTTTTGACATCTGATGTACTCCTGATACCGGCTCCGTAACTAGAAGCGCTCAATTAAATTGAAATCTGTATACGAACGCTACCGATTAAAATTTTTTGGAATCAAATCTTCTACTAATTGTCGAAGGTATGAGGCGCACAGAAATATTGCGTTTCATGTGCTACTGATACCGGAAACGTAGCCAAAAACGTTTAACTAAATCTTAATTTACTTAATGACGCTAGGGAATTGAAACCTGCTACATATCTTCTAATCATTGGACTTATCAGGCAAACAGAAATTTTGCGTTTGATGTACTCCTAATGCCGGCAACGTAACCAGAATTTTTTAAATTAAATCTGAATTGACTGAATGCCACTAGAGAATTGAAATCTGTTTTATCTCCTGTCGAATTAAAGCTTCCAGTTTTCGCTAAACGTATCAGAACTGTGACCTTTGATATACTTTTGATACTGGAAACGTATCCAGAAGCCCTCAATTAGATTTAAATTGGTTTTAGAGCACCTAGAGATTGAGATCCTCTTGAATGAATGCTTCCAGTAATGGTTGAACGTATCAGGCGCACAGAACTTTTTGACCTTTGATGAACGAATTTTCGTAAGAACGCTAGGGATTGAAATCTTCTTGAATCAAAACTTTGAAGGTATAAGACGTACATAAATATCGCTTTTGTGTTATATGGACACCTGATATCGGCAACGAAGCTAGAAACGCTTTCCTAATAACCCTAAGAAATTGAATCTGTTTTATATCCATTGAACTAAAGCTTCCAGTACTCTTTGAACGTATTAGGCGTACAGAAATTTTGTGGTTGATGTACTCCTAATACGCTCATTTAGATTTAAATTTTTGTAAGAATGCTAGGGATTGAAATATTCTTGAATCAAAATTTCCAGTAATCGTTAAACCTATCATGCATAAAGAAATATCGCATTTGATGTACTCCTGAAGCTGGCAACGTAGCCAAAAACGTTTAATTAAATCTAAATTTACTTTATGACAATAGGGAATTCAAACATGTGCTATATCCTCTTGAAACAAGGCTTCCCGTAGTAGCTGAAAGTATCAGGCGCACAGAAATGTTGCGTTTGATGTGATCCTAATACCGGCAACGTAGCGAAAAAGTTTTCAATAGATATAAATTTACTAGGGATTGAAATCTTCCTGAATCAAAGCTTCCCGTAATCGTTGAACGTATCAGGCGCACAGAACTTTAGCCTTTGCTGTACTCTTGGTACCGGCAACGTACCAGAAGCGCTCAATAGCGATAGGGATTGAAATATTATTAAATCAAAGCTAGCAGTAATCGTTGAACGTACCAGGCGCATAGACCTTTTGACAATGGACGAACTCCCGATACCGACAACGTAGCCAGAAGCGCTCAATTAAATTGAAATTTGTATACAAACGCTCCCGACTAAAATTTTATTGAATCAAATCTTCTACTAATTGTTGAAGGTACGAGGCGTACAGAAATATTGCTATTGTTACCGGAAACGTAGCCAAAAATGTTTAACTAAATCTTAATTTTCTTAATGGCAATAAGGAATTTAAAAAACCTCAGTGGACTTATCAGGCATACAGAAATTTTCCATTTGATGTACTCCTAATGCCGGCAAGGTAACAAGAAGTTTTTTAATTAAATCTAAATTGACTGAATGCCGCTAGGGCATTGAAATCTGTTTTATCTCCTCTTGAAGTAAAGCTTCCAGTAATCCCTAAACGTATCAGGTGTACAGAAATGTACCCTTTGATACTCTCTTGATACCGGAAAACGTAGCCAGAAGGCCTTAATTAGATTTAAATTGGTTTAAGAACGCTAGGGATTGAGATCTTTTTGGATCAAAACTTCCAGTAATGGTTGAACGTATGTATCAGGCGCACAGAACTTTTTAACCTTTGATGTACTCCTGATATCGGCAACGTAGCCAGAAGCGCCCAATTAAATTGAAATTTTTATAAGACCGCTACGGATTGAAATCTTCTTGGATCAAAACTTCTAGTAAACTTAAGTATCGCGTTAGAGAGATGGACTCCTGATCCCAGCAGCGAAGCCAGAAACGCTTAATCAAATCTAAATTTTCCTAATGACGCTAAGAAATTGGAATCTGTTTTATATCCTCTTGAACCAAGGCTTCCAGTAGTAGCTGAACGTATCAGGCGCACAGAAATGATGCGTTTGATGTGCTCCTGATACCAGCAACGTAGCGAGAAAGTTTTAATTGATATAAATTTACTGAATGATGCTAGGGAATTGAAATCTGTTGGTGTATCTTCTTGAACTAAAGCTTGGAAATCTGCAGAACCCTCCCTTCACTTACAAACATCGCAATATCTCTATCCTGAAAAACATTAAGGGTGAAACCTTTGATTTTACACGATTAAAGTTAAATAATTCGTGTCAAAGGGAATGTTAGCCATATAGCAAAACCAAGTTGATCTTTAAAAAATGACAAATTCTGCATTTCAAATTTTAGAAAGTAGCAAAAGCAAAGCGTTCAAGCAAAACAAATGAATACACGTTTTCCTAGGCTGTTGGAAAATAATGTCTGTTAACGCGTCTGTAGACGCTCGAACACTAACAGAAATTAGGAGATATTTCGTTACTATGCAATGAGGAAACGCATTCGAACGTGGTTCTTATCTTGGCTAAAGTAAAGTAGAAGTTTGATCCTTTAAACTTGAAACCTAAATATGAAACTTAAGTTGATGATTCTATCGTGACGATCGAACTGTAGACGAGCATTTTTGAACTTTAGTTGCGATATGGACAAAAAATGTATGCCGAACTCGCCCGCGGCTTACTTCTAAGCGCGAGCATCCTTCGTCCGCCTATTTGTTCTTGGCGTTCGCGGTATCAAATCCGTCATCTTTCTCGGAATCCACCGGCGCCAGTTTCGTCTCATCGCATCGGGATCGATATTCGAAATGAGCGCGGTGGGAAAACTTCTTAACGGCCGTGTATCGTCGCGCGATCAATTTTGACACCTTATTAAAATGACGCACGGCCCGGCGAGCAAGATAAACTTCTGGGTCCTTTCATAAATTTAAATTAATTAAACGCGCTAACGGTGCCTCCGATTTCCATATTTACCCGATTTCACTCTCTCTCTCGTCGCCTAATTGAGCGCGCATCGCCTTTGATCGAGGATTATATTAGGTTACGTGTTAAGTTTTAATTAATTATGCAAATTTATATTAATTTCATAAGTTTTACGCAAGTCGAGCCGAGAAGTTTACACAAAAAAACACCTGCAGTTTCTTTTCGGTTAATTAGTTCCAACTGGTGACAAACGCCGAACTTTTGGGGGTTGTTGCTCAATTAAATCTTGAAGAGGATCCGTAATTAGCATGGAGAGGTAAATACAAGGATCAACAGTGGACGATAAGATCGAGCCGTATCTCGACCTTGTATCTTTGATATTTAAATGTAATAGCAACGTGTGTGACCAGAAGTTCGAGCCTCAAAGACCACACAGGGGCGTACTTTACACGCACACAAATCATCGATCAAAGGAAACCAAACCAGTTTATATATCGCTAGTTAAGAGCTCGATCTATTCAAAAATTCATGTAATATGTTAAGGACGTGTCCCAAGGTTCCGCGTTTGGACCGTTGCCGTTGTTTTTTTTTGTCCTCTTGCTCGCTTTTAAAATGCGATATGAACTGAACGCCTTTTTGTTTTGTTGTAGACGATACTCAACTCGATGCACAAGTATCAGCCGAGGTTTCATCTGGTCCGGGCGAACGACATACTCAAGTTGCCATATTCGACGTTTAGGACGTACGTGTTTAAGGAGACCGAATTTATCGCGGTCACCGCATATCAAAATGAAAAGGTGAGCTGCTATTTCTCTTAGGGAGGGAAACTTCGAAGTCGATCCAGAGATCTGGAATGCACACTGGACTTCTTGCTTTTACCCGGTCCCTCAGTGCATTTTGATACCCTTTTTTAACTATAACTTCCAACCTTCAAGAGACTCTGAAGTCTTAAATCGAATGTCGTTAGGTCGAATTATGTAAAGTTTTGGTTTCCGGGATGTACAGCTGGTGTAGGTTCTAAAGATCCTGGAGGGCCTAGAAAATTTGAGGAACCTGGTACACATCCGACGAGTCAAAAGAGTGCGAGAGGCTGAGGAGTTTGACGAGTGTAATTACTTGTCACGAGCCACGAGAGAATATGAAGACATGGACGCTAGAAAATTAGAACGATCTAAGAGCATGAGGAGTCTGAAGGACCTGGAGAACCTGAAATATGCGAAAAATCTAAAGAAAATACAAACAGTCTGACGAAACTAAGAATAGAAGAATGAAGAAATAAAAAAAGAGCGAAGTATTAAGGATCTAAGCAACCCGAAGAGCGTAAACGGCTTGATAGGTTTTTGAAAAGAAAATGAAAAATCTGGAAAACATGAAATAATGTGAGAAACTTTCCTGAAGAATGTGAAGGAAGTTTGAAACATCAATTGAAACCGACAGATCCTAAAAAATGAAAGATTTTGGAAAACACAAAAATAAAAAAATTCACCTGCCGTTTTTTTTTGTATTATAAAACTCGCTTCGAGTGTTTGGTAATCTCCCGAAAACCTCTCGAATATCGTGTTTTGCTGCTTGATTATGCTGAAACCCTTGTTCCATAGACACGCTCCCAAAGTGCTCCTGAAATTCGTTTGGAACTTTCTCGGAATTTTCTAAAAAATGTGAATTCATATAAATGATATTCTCCTGATATTTACCTTGGTGTTCTCTGGCTTCTCATCAAACTTTTGAAACCCCCCTTTTCTATTACAATTGTCCTGAAGTCTGGGGGTATGGAGTATTTTTTCGAATATTATCAAATGTTTTTGGGAAAGAGTGGATCTGGGGGGTATGGAATACCCCCAAGTAGCAGCTTGTGCCCCTAGCAAAGTAAAATTGGGAAATATTTTGCTCTTATCATTTTCATTGTCGTGTTTGGTAAGTAATCCCATTTTTGTCTGCTGGGGGGTATTCTATTCCCCTCAGGCCCCCCCCCCCCAGTATTAATATTTTTTATTAACGGTGGTGGAATCTTTTTTTCCTGAAGAGTATTTCATAACTCACAGGATCATGGTTCTAAGTGCTGACACAATACGTTTTTGAGAAAAAGCGAGGTACCGGAGGGTCTGGGGAGGTATGGAATACCCCCAGCTAGCAGATTCTGCCCTTAGCAAAGGCAAATTCGATAATATTTTGTTCCTATCACATTCATTGGCGTTTTTGGGAAGGAGTAATCGCATCTTCGTCTACTGGGGGGTATTCCAGTACCCCCCCCCCCCAACTCAGCCCTTGGCAAAGTAAAATTCCTTGTAAATTACACCTATCACTTTCACAGTGGTCTTTGGGATTATAGGTGATCGCATTTTTGTCCTCTGGGGGAGACTTAGATTCCTTCGAAATTCTTTGAAGTTCATTTGCATCACATCTCCAGGGACCCTTTCCAAAAAATTTCGAAGGATTTGAAGGTTCCAAAAAAAATCCGAAGAACTTGTAGAACCTTAAGGAAATAAAGGACACGAGAAACCTGAGGGAAAGATCTGAGGCAATTCTGGAATATCTGAAAAATCCGAAGAATATGAAGGCGCCGAGAAATCTGAAGAGTCTAAAGGCCTAAAGGACCTGAAGGAAATGAAGGATCAATAGAATTTAACAGACAAAAAGGAATTTAATAATCTTCATGACTCTGGAGTAGGTTAGAAAAGGGAGGAAGTGATGGAGTCCGACGAAACGAAAGAAGCCGATGAAACTGAGGCATTCGAAGAACTAAAATTTCTTGTAAAATTCAAAGAATCCGTGGGATGTGAAGTAGGTACTTTAAAAATTCGGAGAGTGGTTGCGTGGTAGTCTCCCTCAAAATTTTGCAACCACTTAGGCGGAACTCAAAATTCCTTGGTTCGACTATGTCTTCTAAGTGTAACCAGAGAGTTTAGTAGCATCTAGTGTCTTAAAAATCTATAATTTATCTAGGTAGGTTCTCGAATATTTCTTGAATTATTGTTGAGCTGAGACACGTTCTCTATCTATGGAGATCTTAAAATTAGAAGACTCTTGGGGGACTATTTGAGGCTCTTGGAGGATTTTTAAGAGGTTCTAAAATTCTTTGGAGGCCCATAGAGGATTTTAAAGCATCTTCAATCCGGTAACTGTTAAAAACTATTCAGGACTTTTAGAAATCAGGTCTAAAAGATTTTAAAATGTGTTTGGAGACTTATGGAGGTTCCAATGGATTTTCACAAATACTATAAGACTTTGGGAGGCTTATATAGATCCTTGGCGTTTTTAACACCTCTTAGAAACTCTGTTAACTAAGACTTAAAATCGATTTGATTTAAAAAGAGTCCCTGCGATCATATGATCTGTAATTATCTAACTTAATTTTGTAGATGTTTCCCTTTCTCTCCATCTAAGTCTTGAATTCTAGAGATTTTAGGCGCCAGAAACGTTAGAAGCTCTACACTTTATTTGATCTTCAGACTGTAAAGCTCTAGAAGGCTATATTCTCTAGAAATATAAGAGATTCTAAATAAGTTCAGTCTATGAACTTGATTGTCGAGCTTCAAGTCCCTGGTCTTTTTACTTTCCGGTTTAATGTTCGTCCCTCGAAATTATTTTCTAGATTAATTGCAATTCTTCTGAAACCTTTATTAAAAGATTCAAAATCACTTCAAAACCTCTTTAAAATCTATTTAAAATCTTTTCAAATCTCTTCAAAATCTATTAAAAAGCTCTTGAAAATCTCTTCAAAATCTCTTGTAAATCTCATCAAGATCTCTTCAAAACCTCTTCAAAATCTCTTCAAAGTCTCTTTAAAATCTCTTCAAAAGCTCTCCAAAATCTCTAAAAAGCTCTTGAAAATTGCTTGTAAACCTCTTCAAAATCTCTTGTAAATCTCTTCAAGATCTATTTAAAATCCTGGTCAAAATCTCTTCAAAACCTCTTTAAAATCTTTTCAAATCTCTTCAAAATCTATTAAAAAGCTCTTGAAAATCTCTTCAAAACCTCTTGTAAATCTTATCAAGATCTCTTCAAAGTCTCTCTAAAATATTTTCAAAAGCTCTCAAAAATCTCTTTAAAATCTTTGAAAAAGCTCTTGAAAATCTCTTGTAAATCTCTTCGTTTCAGTACACGTTAATTCTATTGAAATTTCCAGTAAAGCACCACGAGAGCACTGAGGGTAATAGGTAGAGGCATATCGAAGTTTTCTATTGAAAATCTCTTAAGAATCTCTTCAAAAAGTCTTCAAAATAAGTCTTTTCATAATCGCTTCAAAATCTCTTAAAAAGCTCCTTAATTTCTCTTCAAAATCTCTTGCAAATCTCTTCAAGATCTCTTTAAAATCTCTTCAAAATCTCTTCAAGATCTGTTCCAAGTTTCTTTTCAAATCTTTCCAAAAGCTCTTCAAAATTTGTTCAAAATCTGTTTTAAATCTATTCAAGATCTCTTTAAAATCTATTGTAAATCTCTTCAAAGTCTCTTTAAAATCTCTTCTCTTAAGAAGTACCTACTGCAGCGCATATTGTAGCACCTGGGGGTCTGGGGGGTATGGAATACCCCCCAGTACACGTTAGTTCTATTGAAATTTCCAGTAAAGCACCACGAGAGCATCTGAGGGTAATAGGTAGAGGGATATCGAGGTTTTCTTTTGAAAATCTCTTAAGAATCTCTTCTAAAATCTTCAAAATAAATCTCTTCAAAATCTCTTGTAAATCTCTTCAAGATCTCTTCAAAGTTTCTTTAAAATCTTTTCAAAAGCTGTTCAAAATCTGTTGTAAATCTCTTCAAGATCTCTTTAAAATCCCCGTCAAAATCTTTTTAAAACTTCTTTAAAATCTATTTAAAATCTTTTCAAATCTCTTCAAAATCAATTAAAAAGCTCTTGAAAATCTCTTCAAAACCTCTTGTAAATCTTATCAAGATCTCTTTAAAACCTCTTCAAGATCTCTTCAAAGTCTCTCTAAAATCTTTTCAAAAGTTCTCCAAAATCTCTTTAAAATCTTTTAAAAAGCTCTTGAAAATCTCTTGTAAATCTACACGTTAATTCTATTGAAATTTCCAGTAAAGCACCACGAGAGCACTGAGGGTAATAGGTAGAGGCATATCGAAGTTTTCTTTTGAAAATCTCTTAAGAATCTCTTCAAAAAGTCTTCAAAATAAGTCTTTTCATAATCGCTTCAAAATCGCTTCAAAATCTCTTCAAAATCTCTTAAAGAGCTCCTCAATTTCTCTTCAAAATCTCTTGCAAATCTCTTCAAGATCTCTTTAAAATCTCTTGAAAATCTATTGTAAATCTCTTCAAAGTCTCTTTAAAACTCTTCAAAATTTGTTCAAAACTATTTTAAATCTATTCAAGAAAATCTCTTGAAAATCTATTGTAAATCTCTCAAAGTCTCTTTAAAATCTCTTCTCTTAAGAAGTACCTACTGCAGCGCATATGTAGCACCGGGGGGTATGGAATACCCCCAGTACACGTTAATTCTATTGAAATTTCCAGTAAAGCACCACGAGAGCACTGAGGGTAATAGGTAGAGGCATATCGAAGTTTTCTTTTGAAAATCTCTTAAGAATCTCTTCAAAAAGTCTTCAAAATAAGTCTTTTCATAATCGCTTCAAAATCGCTTCAAAATCTCTTCAAAATCTCTTAAAGAGCTCCTCAATTTCTCTTCAAAATCTCTTGCAAATCTCTTCAAGATCTCTTTAAAATCTCTTGAAAATCTATTGTAAATCTCTTCAAAGTCTCTTTAAAATCTCTTCTCTTAAGAAGTACCTACTGCAGCGCATATGTAGCACCGGGGGGTCTGGGGGGTATGGAATACCCCCCAGTACACGATAGTTCTATTGGAATTTCCAGTAAAGCACCACGAGAGCATCTGGGGGTAATAGGTAGAGGCATATCGAAGTTTTCTTTTGAAAATCTCTTAAGAATCTCTTCTAAAATCTTCAAAATAAATCTCTTCAAAATCGCTTCAAAATCTCTGTAAGACCTCTTCAAAATCTCTTCAAAAGCTCCTCAATTTCTCTTCAAAGTTTCTTTAAAATCTTTCCAAAAGCTCTTCAACATTTGTTCAAAATCTCTTGTAAATCTATTCAAGACCTCTTTAAAATCTCTTCAAAATCTATTGTAAATCTCTTCAAAGTCTCTTTAAAATCTCTTCTCTTAAGAAGTACCTACTGCAGCGCATATTGTAGCACCTGGGGGTCTGGGGGGTATGGAATACCCCCCAGTACACGTTAGTTCTATTGAAATTTCCAGTAAAGCACCACGAGAGCATCTGAGGGTAATATGTAGAGGGATATCGAGGTTTTCTTTTGAAAATCTCTTAAGAATCTCTTCTAAAATCTTCAAAATAAATCTCTTCAAAATCTCTTGTAAATCTCTTCAAGATCTCTTCAAAGTTTCTTTAAAATCTTTTCAAAAGCTGTTCAAAATCTGTTGTAAATCTCTTCAAGATCTCTTTAAAATCCCCGTCAAAATCTCTTCAAAACTTCTTTAAAATCTATTTAAAATCTCTTCAAAATCTCTTCAAAATCTCTGCAAAATTTGTTCAAAATCTCTTGTAAATCTCTTTAAGATATCTTCAAAATCTCTTCAAAAGCTTTTTTAAAATCTCTTAAAAAGCTCTTGAAAATCTCTTCAAGATCTCTTCAAAACCTCCTCAAGATCTCTTCGAAATCTCTTCAAAATCGAAGTTTTCCTTGATTGGGGTTTATATGGGGGGGGGGATTAAACCTCCCGGTAGCATTTTCTTCCACAGAACGTTCATGATCGTTGTTGTGTCAAAATGATCATACCCTCTTCTCCTAAGAAGTACTGCAGGGAATATGCGGCTGGAGTTTCTGATCGGATGCCTCATTGGCACCAAATCCGAGGAGGATCCTTCCTGCAGAAGAACGTCTTCCATAGGCTCGTTCTGAAACCAGGATTTTGCCTCTGGAGGCGCTTCAAAATGGTGGCCGTGTCATTCTGGAACCCATATAACAGCCTGCCACCCCAGGGCCTAATAAGAGGGATGGTCCTCTGCAACACGTCCAAAGTCCACAAGTCCTCGCATTCGGTCACAAGGACTTTGCAGCTGAAACCTGCCAGCCGAGGAAAGCCCCCCCCCCCCCCCCCATTATAGAATTGTGGTGAGAATCTTTGTACTGTGTTACGGGATCGCTAGAGACTCCTGTGCATTGGACCCAATCCATCTTGTACTGTCTCTATTTAGAGTGGCAGGATGCTCTGGAGTCTTTTGAGAATCTAAGAGCGTTTGTAGAGTTTTGCTCTTTCAAGGAAAGTAGTACATACAAAATCCCATTACTATAATCCGATTTAAATAAATGACGTCTTTGCACTTTTTCCTCACTTCAAACGGTAATTATCCGCCGCGGAATTTAATCTCCGACCATGCGATCTCCACAAATTTCTCATAAACAATTTTTTTCGAGTGCAATTAAACAATGCGTGTTTGTTTTCAGATCACCCAGCTCAAGATCGACAATAATCCCTTCGCGAAAGGTTTCCGGGATACCGGCGCGGGAAAACGGGAGAAGAAGTAAGTATACTAATTTGCCGAAAATTACAACCCCCGCCCCCTTGCGTTTATTACAGTGCGATAAACAAAGCGACGCGTTTTTTTAACCGCCGATTCTTCTTTTTTCGAGTTAAAGGGCGGAAATTGCGACCGTGTAAGCTTTTAATTTTAAATGTACTCGCGTCGGCCCCCCCTCGTTCATCACTTCGCTCGTGTTGTGTGTTCGTAACAATTTTCGGCTTTGCATTTTTATAACGTTTAAAGAGTAAAATATGCAGGTCGACGGACGACTTTCGCTCCTATCGCGTCGTGCGAAATTGCGAGAAAGGAACCCGCACAAAATAAAAGATCACGTTTTGCGGGAGGGTGACAATGCGGCCGCGAACGGGTAGTATCAAATTAAGGTTGGCATTTCGTTTGGAAGGTCAAAAACGAAAAGGGGTCGCAGATTAGGGGTCTTCTTTTAATTTGCATTTACAGTAAGTGATATACATACATTAGGGCCTTTGGGTAAATTATGGCCTAATTGCGTAAGATCAACAGTGCCAAAAACTGTCTATTTTTAAGGGAAAATAGACCAGAGGATCATCTCGAGGGGGAATTATTGATGAGACAATTAAAAGTTTTCCGCGTCCCTTTAGTTTTATTATTTCGTTTAATCCGAGCTAGTTTTATTCGATGATCTATAAAAAGTTTGGAAAAATACTTTTAATGGCCGGATACGTGTAAGCTGGCGTCGTTTTAATTCCGATTTGATGTTAGTTTGCCTTTTCCACAACTCTCGAACGAGTTTTCAGCGAATCGTTTCCAAACTACAACATTAAGGGTGGATTTATTAAGTCCCACACCATTCAACAAATAGAAAGGAGCTGAGATCTCGCCCTATATACAGACAAAACGCCCGAAGAAGGAAAAATTTCAAAAATAAGACAAACGGAAAGTGGGGAGAAAAGGAAAAGGAAAATAGGAGAGAATTAAAAAAGGAAAGACAAAGGAAACCCGAAAGATGAAACAAAAAAGGAGATAAGATACACCTCACAGTAAGGAAAGGAAGATAAAATGACAAAAGGACATGAACAAAGACAGAAACAGAATAGAATGACAAGAGGATTAAAAAAAGAAGAATCGGGAGGAGTGGCAAATGCGGAAGAGGCGGAATTTCACAAGACGATAGTCCTGTGTGGTTGTCAGGATTTCTAAGAAGAGAAAGAAGAGAAGTGACAAACCGACGACAGCGTGCATAAAGCGAAAATCAAAAAAGAAAAACCGAACAAGAGTAGAATAAAGAAGATATAGGGAAGAGTGACAAGAGCGAGACGAAAGGAAACCACGAACGGAATGAAGACAAAGAAAATGAAAATTGCGAAGAATTTGAGATAAAGAAACGAATAATCGGCGAGAAGGGAAGAACAAGAAAAGTAAAGATAGTGAAAAATCAGCCTCAACGGTAAAAAAAAGAAGAAGGAGAAGGACAAGAACTGGGAGGAGCGGAAAGAAGAGGAAGAATGTGAAAAAAAGAAGCAAATGACAAAATCAGGATGACTGATGAAATTACGAAAAAAACAGAAAAGAACAAGAACAGGCAGCAGAGAGGGAAGAAACGGGAAAATACAAATGAGCGAAACGAGGCGAAAGCGAACAAAAAACAGGGGCGAAATTGTACGAAAACAATAGAAGGAGTTGGGCGAGAAGATTAGGAATAACTGGAGGAGCGGGAAAATTGCAGGGAAAGGGAGAAAAGCGAGAAGGGGCACAAATGAAAAGAATGGGAAGCGCAAGACGTTCCGAAAGAACGAGAAGGACGACAAAAACAAGAAGATCGAGAAGGGAAAAAAGCGGGAAGTGTGAGAAAAACTGAAAAAGTGTAATAGAACGAGAAAAATTGGGAAGAACGGATATACAAGGAATAAAGTGAGGAAAAAACGAACCAGAAGCGAAGAAGACATTAAAACACTAAGAGCGGGAGGAATGGGAGAACTGAAAGACAGAGAAAAACGGGTAGAGTGGGAAAAAGAGGGAAGAAACATGATAATGGCAAGAAGAGCTAGAGGAACGAGAACTGGAACAAAGAGAAAAATGACAAGGGTGGAAAAAATGTCGTGATAAGTGGGATACGAAAGCAAGGGGTTAACAAGGTGAAAAATACGGACGGGAAGAAAGTAGAGAACCAAAGAATGAGAAGAAGGGTGCGTGGGAAGAGGGAAAAAGCGCGAAAAAAATCGCCAAATGTGAGAATGAGGAAAAGAAAAAATAAGTGGGAATAAAAGAGAAGAATAAAAGGGAAGGGCGATAAGTGAATGAAATTAAGTGAATGGCAGGAGAACTGAATGATGTGCGTGGGGAGTGGGAACAGCAACGATTAAGATACCTAGAGGAATGGAGGAAAAGGAAAGGGTGTGGCGCGAAATGTGAAGAACGACAAGCGTGGGAAAAACGAGAAAAAAACGAATGAAAGAAACAGGAGGACTGTAATAAAAGGGATAGCGGCAAGAGAAAAAAAGAAAAATGCGAAGAAAAAAACGAGAACGGTGGGGAAGATAGTAACGGTAAAAATTACGAAAATAAGACAAAAGGAAAGTAAAGTGGGGAGAAAAGGAAAAGGAAAATATGCGAGAAAATTAAAAAGAGTATGGCGAAAGTTGGAAACTGGGAAACGCGAAAGATGGAAGAAAATAGTAGAACCTCACAGTAAAAAAAGGGGCACGAACAGAGATAGAAAAAGAATAGAATGGCAAGAAAGTGCAGGAGAAAAGATTAAAGAAAGAAGAAACAGGAAAATGGCCTCAATAGATCTCAATCGCGAAAGAAGTAAAGGAAGGAGGAGTAGGGAAAGATTTTCTTTCGGAAGATTGAGAAGGAAGAGAAAAGAGAGCAACAATTGAAAGAGTCACAACAGCGACAAATATACCAGGCTAAACGGTAATAAAAGAAGCGGGAAGAAGAGGAAGAAAGTGAAGAAAAGAAGAAAATTACAAAGAACAAGAAGAGCTAACAGAGAGGGAAGAAACGGGAAAATCCATATGAGCGAAATAAAGGATGAAAAGAGAGAAAAGCAAAGGGAAAACAGGGGAGACACAATACGAAAAGAATGGGAGGAGTAGGGCAAGAGGATTAGAAATAACGGAAGGAGAGACAAAAATACGAAAAACTGAAAAAGCGAGGAAAATGAAAAGCGATAAGCGTCAGAAGAGTCAAATAATACGAAGAATAAGAGAAGGAGGTAAAGATGAGAGGAGCGACAAACGTCTAAATCCTCGAGGAAGGACGGGAGTGGAGGATAGGCGCCGGAAGTGAAAAGTGCCAAATGTGAAGTAAAACACGCGCAGAAAGAGTGAGAAGGGTGGGAAGTGCGATAAGATCCGCAAAGGCGAGAAAAACGTAATGAAAGGAAAGAATGTCAATCAGAAAGGGGATAACAAGGGCGAGAAGTAAAGGAAACAGAAGGGGAGTAGGGAAAGATGTTCTTTTGGAAGATGCAGAAGAAAGATAAAACAGCAACAATTGAAAGAGTCACAAGAGTGGGAAATGTTGAAGAAGAGGTTAAGGTATAGGGAAGAGTGACAAGAACGACAAGGACTACATGTGCGAGAAGAGAGAGACGAAAGGAAACAACGAACAGAAAAAAGAAAGAGAAAATGAAAATTGCGAAAAGTGTGAGATAAACGAAATGAAACAGAAAAAACAAAAAGATAATAAGTATGGACAAAAATAGGAACAGAGGAGGAGAGGGAAGAAACGACAAGCATGAGAAAAGCAAAAGAAACAAGAGAAGAACAAAAAAACAGGATAAAAATACAAAGAACATCGACAACAAAAGAAAGGACGCTAGTGAAGAGGAGAGAACGTGAAGCATAGACGTGGAGGGCCACAACAGCGACAAATTTACCAAACCAGCCTAATCGGTAATAAAAGGGGCGGGAAGAAGAGGAAGAATGTGAAGAAAAGTGCAAACAACAAGAAGCTAACAGAGATGGAGGAAATAGGAAAATCCATATGAGCGAAATAAATGGAAAAAATGTCAATTGTCAGGAGGATGCAAAGAGCTGGACGAGAAGAGATAGGAAAAGCAACGGTAAGACAAAAGCGAAGGGAAAACAGGGGAGACACGATACGAAAAGAATGGGAGGAGTAAGGCAAGAAGATGAGAAATAACGGGAGGAGCGACAAAAATACGAAAAACCTGAAAAAGCGAGGAAAAAGAAAAGCGATAAGGGTCAAAAGAGCCAAATAATGCGAAGAGTAAGAGAAGGAAGTAAAGATGAAAAGAGCGACAAACGTCTAAATCCTAAAAAATAAGAGGGTAAGGATAGATAATGAGAAATACGGGAAGCGCAAGAAGATAAGAAAGAGCGAGCAAAGCGACAAAAATAAGATCGAGAAGAAAGAAAATGAGGCATGAAAAAATCTGGGAAAATGCCAGAGAGCGTGAAAAATAGTGAAGGACGGAAAGACACGGAGCGAAATGAAGAAAGAACGAACCAGAAGAAAGGAAAGAACGAGGAGAGTAGGAACACTAAAACATGAACAGAAAAAATGTAGAAGATGAGAAAAGTAAGGAAAGCAAAAAGAGTGAACAGAGCGGGAGGAAACAGGAAAAAACGGAAGAAATGGAGGAAAGCAACAACATGAAAATGACGAAAAAAAACATCGTGACAAGCGAAAAATCAGAGGGAACAAGAAACGAGATAAGTGCGAGAACAACGAGAAGAGTGAGGGAGCGAAAGAGAATGGAAGAGCAAGAAAAACAAAGAAGTGACGAAGAATTCGATGAACGAGGTCAACACAAACAGAGAAAGAAAGAAATGAAGGTTCGCAAAAGAACTGATAAGATCCGGCATACGGCAAAGCAATAAAAATAGAAAAGCAAGAACGCGGAGAAGAGAGAATGGGAAAAACGAGAAGAAGGATTGTCTCAACTGCAAAGAAAAGTATAAGAATTGAGGGAAAGTCCAAGACGGGCAAAAACCGTGACAAAAACAACAAAAACCAGAGAGAGCGAAGAAAAAGAAGAAGGAAATGAGGAGAAAGAACTACGAGGTTGAGAAACGCAGAGATTGCAAGGAAAGAGGAAGAAATTGGAAGAAGTATAACGGCAAACTAAGTGAAAATTGCGAAAATACTGCGTTACACAAAGTAAGGGGGAACAACAAAAATATTGGAGGGTACCAATGTCAAGGAGGACATGAGAGATGAAAGAAAGAGGTTAACAAAGCGCAAAATACGAATGGAAAGTAAGCAGAGGATGAAAAAGGCGAGAAGAACATAAACGGTGATTAGAGCGTGAGTAATGAAAGAAAGACTGAATCATCATTTCCAAAAGAACAACAAACTTTCTACCAAAGGTAACGTTTGGCCCTCATAGACAAACAGAAAAAGCGACAATAAGAGACAGAATGGGGAGAAGAAAAAGAACATGAACAGCGAGAAAACGGAAAGCTGGAAGGGATAGAAGAATAAGAACAACGAATTGCGAGAAGGGTAGAAATAACGACAACGGCGAAGAAAGATCGGAAAGAGAGAGAAGTTGGAAGAGCTAGAAAAACAAAACAACAAGATCGAGAAGAGGTAGAAGGACCGAAGAACCTGGAGAAATGAAGAAAAGTGACAAATATGAGATGGGCGAGAAGCGCTAGATGAACAAGAACAACGAGAACAGTCAAAAGGAAGAAAAGAGAACTAAGGACGGAAAGAACGGAAAACTTGAAAATGCCTGCATGGCAATAGGTAAGAGGAATGCAGGAGGCACTAAAAGAACGGGAATAGAGAAAAGGTAGAAAAAAGATAGAGAACAAGAAGAGGCGGAAAGGCGAGAGAAACGTGAAGATCAACAATAATCGAGAATAACAAAAGGACCGTATACCGGTTGCAAGAGCAATAAGAATGACAAGTCAAGGAATAGGTACACGAGTGAGATAGCGAAAAGAGCAAGAAGGGCGTAAGTAAAGAGAAAAACTGAAATAGTAGGAAAAGTAATAAAAATGAAAAATAGAAGGGTCGGAGGAAGGTGACAAGTGGAAAAGATGGAATATCCACCAAAGGGAAATTGGGAAGATTTAACCATCTCCATCGTAATATATACTGAGGGGGTACCCCCGGACCCTCCGGTGCTACGCTGTTCCCTACAAAACGTTTACTGCAAATAGACATCTTGACAAAATAAAGAGATAATTGAGAGGGGACAAAGAAAACGGATAACGAAAAGAACGAAAAAACGAAGAAAGTTGGAAGAAGAATAAGAACAACGTGTAATGCGATAAGGATAGGAAAAATGACAAAGGAGAAGAGCGATTGAGCGAAACAAAAAAGGGCAGAAGATCCAGAATGAACATAGTGAAAAATGATGTCAAAATGGAGAAGAGTGGAAAAGAAGCTAAATACATCATGGAAAATTGAACCAAACGCGAGTGCAATGGAGGAGGGGAAGGGGGGAGGCAAAGGAAGTTACGATTCCAAATTAAACCATAAGATCAAACAGGGGAGATAAATAGGCAAACAGAATATAAACATGAAACGATGGGAACGAAATGGTAAGCATAAAAAGAATAACATTGGAGGGGGGGGGGGGATATAGTATGCTATCTAGGCGAGTTCGGCATAAGCCAATTGTTTAAAGTGTATTTTCTTCGTTTTCCAGGCAAGCGATGTTAGCAGCGAGGCACGGCTCGGATTCCGACAAGATCTCCCATCCTTTACCTGCGCGAATGTCGGCCGATAGTAGCACCGTGTCAAAAACGGAAGAGTCAGAGCTCGACGTGGTGGGCACGTCGGAGAGTCCAAGACCTTCACTGCATACGTCGATGACGCCGGTTTCGGCGTCGATGAACCATTCAAGTAGGTCTTTTGCACGAACTCCTCTGGTCGAGATACTAATTTGAGTTTTTTTTCTAAGTAGGTCAAGATGACGATGTTATACGAAGGCGTCTGCACGACGATTCCGGTTCGGAGTCGAGCTGCTCGGAATCGCCGGCGAGTACGGCGTTTCGGCCGAGGACGTCGTCGCCGAAGAACACGCCGGGGCCTTCGAACCCGTCGGGCGAGTATCCATCGCCGAACATCAGCGTGGGTCCCCCCATACATCCGCCACCTCACTTGTTGCCTTACCTCTACCCACCCGGACTGTACCCGGGCGCGGGCGGCCCTCACTTCGGACCACCCCTGGGTCTCTTCGCGAGCGCTCACAGTCCAAGTATGAACCCCAGCCTTCTGTTCAACGCACAGCTCGCGCTCGCCGCTCAGCATCCCGCGCTATTCTCCCACTACACCAACCTGGCGCACCCGGCGGCGACGAGCCACCACCTGTCGCCCACGTCACCGATACACAACCACCTCAAGGGCGGTCACCGGTTCGCCCCGTACACGTTACCGAACTCCTCGGGCGGCGTGAACAGCTCGCCGCTCGGCAGCGCGTTCGAGACGGTAACGCCGAGCTCGCACACGAGAAGCCTGAGCAACTCGCCTTCGGGCAAACCTCGCCAGAGTTCGCTATCGCCGCCCCTGAGACCGAACACCTCCTCGCCCAAAACGGACGTACCGAACTCGCCGAGCGACCTCAAAAGCATAGAGAAGATGGTGAACGGTCTCGACGTCAAACAAAGCGAGGACGCGGACAAATAGTGAGTGATTGTTGCCATAACGTAAAATGCTTGAGACACTGACGCGAAACGGCACCGTTAACCCTACGCCACTGGACGCCCGCGGTCAAAGGCTCGTGATTTTCTTTTAAAACCCTTTTTTTCTGCTCCGTGGAAAAAATCATTTCTAAATTTACTTCTAGTGAGGCTACAAATCACTGCGGGCGCACGTAGCGTTAACCGTTGCATGCGCGTGCGCTGTTGCAATATTTAGTTGTTAATAATGTATAGCTCTATGGTGCTCAATAGTTTTAGTTGATATTCCAGACGAACAATGCATTCCTATCTGCCAAACTGGCAGCACTGTTTTCTGCTGTAGTGAATGTTCCTTTGTTAAACAAGTACTGTACATACCGCCTCCATACACACAAGAAAAACTTTAGGTACTAAGACTGTACATATATAGCGCTTTATTTCCTATGTAAATTGTAAATAGGTAATGTCGTCATGTAATTAGGGGGAAAATCAATATAATTTATATCTGCCAAAGATCACCAGACGTTTCTGGAGCCACAAAAGCGATCGATGTATATAAGAAACAAAAAAAAAACTAAAGAAATTGCAATATTTCTCAAGCTTCTGTTTCGTGCCGACAGAGGGAGGTAATCAAAATTATTGTAACCTACACAGTTCAATCGATAACGCACTGTATTTATTATTTTCTCGATACTGGTACCTAAACTTGTATTTAAGTAGAGAATGTAAACGTGTCGTGTGTGTGTAATGTAAAATAATTTTATGAATTAAACATTGATAATATAATAAACAATGTCTTTTATTTTGAAAAAAAAACGGAGGGTACCAAATTGGGTGTCGCTGGGAGCGAGGAGACTCCATTACCCCTGGGTGACAGGTAACAAAAAATTTCACAACACTTCTGGAACCATTATCCCACAAGGCCTTCCCACCCTGACCTTGAAAAAGGTTCCTAAAATCATTCCCATGACCCTTTTGAGGTTTTTCAATGATATTTTAAAGATCCCTACTTACATTCAAAGACCTAAAGACACTTCTAGACAAAAGCTTTAAAGAATTTTTAGACAATTTCAAATTTTTAAGGCTTAGGTTTTTGTGTGACATTTCACGCCGCTTAAAATCAATTAAGACTCTCCAGGGACCCTAAGGTTCTGGTGACTTTGAAGGTTTTATTATTCTTCAACATTGTTTCGCTTAATGAACTCCAAAAACCTTTACGGGCTTTTCAGTGTTCTCATGGACGGCGTTCTAATGCATATTTTCAAGGCTCCGGAAGTCAAGACGGTTTAGAGCTTTTTTTAGTAATTTAAAAATTTGCGACCTTTGAGAGTGAATACTGTCCGAAGCCCTAAAAATAACCATTCCAAAGGGACCTCTACAATTAAACCTCCAATGTGAAAATTATCTAAAATATTATTCAAAGCCATTTTTCAAAAGGCCGTAAATTTCCTAAGGTTCGAAATTATTCCAAAAAATTTGTTACTTCTGAATCGCAAAGGCTCGTTTTCACCACTATTTGTTCCCTCAAAGTCTCTGACGGACCCTTCAAGAATCCTAAAATGCTGCTGGAAGCGTTTAAAAAGCTTTAAATTTGGTTCTGTACCTTTTATTGTCCGCCAAAAGCGAACTTTAAAATTCCTTTATTGCTTCCTTTTAAGATCCGAAAATCCTTTAAATATCTTCAATTACTGAAACCTTATCAGGCCTTATTGAAAACCCTTCAAGGGCTATTTAGAGCTTTCACAAACTTTAAAATTCATTTAAGGCCCTAAAGTTATCAAAAGCGGGTAACCAAACATTGCTTAGAACCCACCAACCATTATTTGTGACCTTCAGGACTCTAATAAACCTTTCATGTTTCTGATGATGCTGCATGAAGCGTTAAAAGCCTTTACATTTGGTTCACTTCCTTTCATGTCCCTCAAAAATTAAAGTTTTCAAGCAAAGGATCTCGGAAGGGTCCCAAAATCTGTAGTGCTCTGGCAAGCTATCTCGAGCCTTCTTCGAGCTTTCAGGGTGTTTACAGAATTCAGAATTTCCAAAATTCGTTTAAGGCCCTAAGTTATTTGTTACACGTAACCCGATCATTGCTTTAGAACTACACCAGAACCTTTAATTGTGACCTTTAATGACTCTTGCGAACCTTTCAAGGTCCGAAAGCCTTTATTTGGTTCTATTTCTTTAGGTTCCCCAAAATCCTTCCGAATTCTTATAACTTCCTACTTGGTAAGACCCAGAATTTCGTTATTTCCCTTGAAGTTCAAGGAGCCTGGCAAAATCCTTAAATACTTTCAAAAAAGCCTTGAAAGCTTTCACTGAAAGGTCCTTTACAAAGCTCAAATCGGTTCAGGACCTAGAAACCCACCAAAGGGTCCCCAATAATCCATTCGTGCTTTCAGAAATTCCATCAATCCTTTTCATATGTAAAAAAAAATTGGCCAAAACCAAGCGAAGATGCAAAAAGAAACAATGAAGGGGTCGTGGTAAATGGAGACGGTGGAGCAGTAAAAAAACGAAAAGGAGAAACGCCATTTTAAAAAAAGTTTTACAGTAGAAACAAAAAGGTAAGGTAAGAGAAGCAAATTTCTTATAAAGAAAATCATGTTCAGGGTCCAGATTTCAAATAGGCATTAGGATTTCAAAATTCAGATCTTTGATTTTGAACTTAAGACCAAAATGGAATTTCCACCCAATAAACAGTAACACGTTTTCAGCCTAGCGATCAAATCTGGCAGATTATCAAAAATTGCGAATTGACACCAATCATTAATATTATTGATGACGGAAAGGCGACGGGCGTCTCGTAGCTCTATCAGATTTGCCCAGTTTGCCAATAAATATTTGCCGCAACAAAGCCAAGGGACGGATACTTTAAGAAAATTGTCCGGTAATAACACCATAAATTACCCCTAACGTAGTTGACGAGTTCGCCTATGATCTATCGGTGACTTCCTGCGATGCGTAATTGCGTCAAGTAATAACATTTAGACAATGTAATAAATTTTTAAAGCGAAAAGTCGTGGAGATCGACGACGCTTAACTGCGAAGGGATGAGCTCATCTTTAATCTCCTTGGGTTTGTATTAAAATGGTTTATGAATTAATTTCATCGTTTCCTTAGATTAAACTCGTACTCAGCATTTTGGCAATATTTTTTGAGGCCAAATATTCATATTCTAAAACTCAGAATTTAAGGTTACGGCAGCTTGCAAGGTCTAGAATTTTGGAATCGACGCGATGATGATTCCGAATTTAGGGCATGAGATAGGAGATCAGAGCATTCACAATCCGGAATTCACCTTATAGGATGCACGATACGATTCAACATATCAGGAGTCAAGAATCTAGTTAGCCAACTGTTGCAGTTTATGGGATTCTTAGAGGCGAAAATGTTTTTCAGGCCGATTTCAAACAATTAATTTTTTCGACCCAAAAATATAGGCAAGTGTATAGCTTTTGCATCGGACCACTCAATAAAAAATTTCGCGAAAAATACTTTTTCTTGCACTTGCTTTTCTGAGCCCGAAAAAAAAAATTGTCTCAGGATCGACCGAAATAAAATTTTCTTATAGAATTGCCCTGTAGAATCCATTAATTTCAAAGAGTTTGAAGATTGGACTACCAGTTTCAAAAGTTACAGCCCTTTGATTTTTTTTTCGAAATTGGTTTCTAGTCTATACACTTTTGATTGAGAAGTCCTAATCGAAAAAAAGTACGAATTGTTTTGGTTTTCTACGCCCCAAATTAATAGAAAGAGTTTTCCCCAAGAAATTTTGGTGTTGTAGTCGATTTTTTGGAAAAAAAGGAAGGTAATTACACTGCCTTTTTTTGAGTCTCGAAAAAAAAAAATTTGCTCTCAGAAATCGACCGGGAAAAAAAATTTTTCTTTATAGAATGTGCCCTGTAGAATCCATAATTTCAAACAGTTTTTGAAGATTGGGCTACCAGTTTCAAAAGTTACAGCGCTTTTTGAATTTTCTTTCGGAATTTTGGTTCTAGTCTATAACTTTTGATGAAAAGTCAATCGAAAAAGTACGAATTGTTTTGGATTCGTTACGTCCCAAATTAATAAGGAAGGTTTTTTTCCCGAGAAATATTGGTGTAGTCGATTTTGCAAAAAAGAAGGTAAAATACACTGCCTTTTTTTGAGGGCTTCGGAAAAAAAAATTGTTCTCAGATCGGACCGGGAAAAAAATTTTCTTATTAGGAATGTGCCCTGTAGAATCCATAATTTCAAAACAGTTTGAGATTGGGCTACCAGTTTTCAAAGTTACAGCGCTTGAATTTTTCTTTTCGAATTTGGTTTCTAGTCTATAAACTTTTGATGAGAAGTCTATCGAAAAAGTACGAATTGTTTTGGATTCTTACGCCCCAAATTTAAAGAAAGAGTTTTTCCCCAAGAAATTTTTGGTGTAGTCGATTTTTTGGAAAAAAAGGAAGGTAATTACACTGCCTTTTTTTGAGGCTCGAAAAAAAAATTGTCTCAGATCGACCGGGAAAAAAAATTTTCTAAGCCTATAAGATAGTGCCCTGTTAGAACTACAAAATTTCAAACAGTTCCAAGATTGGGCTACTAGTTCAAAAGTTACAGCCCTTTGAATTTTTTTTCGAAATTGGTTTCTAGTCTATAACTTTTGATTGAGAAGTCTAATCGAAAAAGTACGAATTGTTTTGGATTCTACGCCCCAAAATTAATAAGAAAGAGTGTTTTCCCGAGAAATTTTGGTGTAGTCGATTTTTGGAAAAAAGGAAGGTAAATACACCGCCTTTTTTGCGGCTCGAGAAAAAAATTGTCTCAGATCGACCGGGAAAAAAGTATTTCTTATAGAATGTGCCCTGTAGAATCCATAATTTCAAACAGAAGATTGGGCTACCAGTTCAAAAGTTACAGCCCTTTGAATTTTTTTTCGAAATTGGTTTCCAGTCTATAACTTTTCATTGAGAAGTCTGATCGAAAAAGTACGAATTGTTTTGGATTCTACGCCCCAAAATTAATAAGAAAGAGTTTTTCCCCGAGAAATTTTGGAGTAGTCGATTTTTGGTAAAAAAGGAAGATTCCTTGCCTTTTTGAGGCCGAAAAAAAAAAATTGAGATCGAGCGGGAAAATACATTTTCTTATTGAATTTATCTCCTTTTTTCTCACTAACTCTTGTTGTTCTTATCGCTCATCTCGCTTTTACCATTTTCTCTTATCTGCGAACTTGTTTCCCCACTTTTTGCACATATTGTTTCAGGAGAATATAATTTGCGAGGAAGTGTTTTAGCTTCTAATACGCAAAGCATGAGCTATCATATTCTTGGAAAATTTCTTTGTATATCAGGATTACATAATGGGGAAAGGGGCCTCTTTATATCACCAAGAGATATATTTTATCACATTAATCTTAAACTTTACAAACTTTGTATCAAGAGAGTATAGTGTGCGAGGAGGTGGTTCAACTAGTAGGTAGTACAAGTAGCTCAGCTAATAAACTATTCAGGGGAACATGGTAGACGAAGACATTTTTTCCACCACCAAGATAAATAAATCAAAACTTTATTCAGACTTAAACTAAAATATCGTGGGGCAACTGATCAAAATTCAGAAACCACGTTGTCGATCATAGCTTTCTTCAACCTCCTTGACACTACAATGCCAAAATAAGCGCACTCGTGTAGTTGACACAACTTACTCTTGCAACGTCATCCTCCGTAGTTGCGCCAATGACACGTACCGCTGAAATTTCCCTTCTAAAGCGTGCAGTATTTCCGCACTGGAGACTGAGGTCATCCCCAGATCAGCCAGAGGTGTGTACATCCCAACCCCTTCCCGTCGTACACCTAAAACCCCAGCTCGTTTAGTTGCCAATCGAAAACACAGTCACCTAGCATTTCGCATATATCGGAGACGAGATCGACACCAACGGACTTCTCGGCGAGCTTCCCGGCGACAACAAAGCTCGACACTATCGCCTCGGGTTGCGTTAGAAGTGAGTCGAGCACCTCAAGGCACGAGGAGATTGCCTGCAGTCGAACTCCAGCAATTTCCGCGTCCGCATCCCAATCGGCCATCATTCCCACCTCTTGAATCGGTCCCCACTGCACAGCGAGCCCGCTGAACCCGTCCCGCCGCCGATTCTCGCAGATGCGTTCCATTGCCGAATTCGCCATGCCGTAATTGGTCTGGCCCAGGTTGCCCTTACCGCAGGAAATCGAGGAGAAGGTTACGAAGGACCTAAATCGTAAAAATAGAGGTGGAACGGCATCTCGGGTACAACCTCAATTGTGGACATAAACGCCGGCTGACTTTGTCCAAGTTTGAGGTTATGAGCGCCTTTGGGAGCATCACCAGGCTGAACGTTTCCGGGGTCTGCTTGTCGAAGAGAGCGTTGCGAAGCACTCCCGATAGGTTGAAGATGGCGTCGAGCTCGCCCTGGCGCAAGGCATCGGCGAGAAGAGCCTCGCAATTTGCCATCGAGCTAAGGTCCGCTGTCTTCACGTTCACGGAGGCTTCACTTTCAATCCAACCCCTGGAAGGTTAAGAGGGTGGAACAGTTTTGCGTCGGTTTCCTCACCTACTGCAACTTGTAGCTTTGGTATGAGGTAAGGTGCCCTCCTCTGGAGACGACTATTAGGTTCCTAGCGCCGCGAGCTACAAGCCAGTCTATCAGCTCGAGGCCAAACCCTCCAAGACCTCCCACTATGATGTATACACGACGAGGGTGGCAAAAATATCTACAGAAGAGTGCAAAAATTAAGGCGTTTGAGTGAGTGAGCTGCTCACTTTCGCATGGCTTTGTATGTGCGCCGTGGTTTGCCTTCCTCTTGCATCCTGACCACCGTTTTCCCCGCGTTTTTACTTCGTGAAATTTCGCTTAGTGCCTCAACGACTCCATCACTTCCACAAACCACCTTGGGAAGAGGTTTGATGTACCCATGACGAATTCCGCAATCCACCAGGTGCTTGAGCCGCTTCCACGAGCATTTTTGCAGATTGTCCAGGTGAACTCCACGAACCGTTCGGTTGCTGCAAACGTCAAAACGAAGCGCAGCGTTCGTCAGGGAATCGTGCTTGCCAATTGCCAGGTATTGGCCACCTTTAGCCAAGCAAGTAGGAGGGGTTCGGGGTGCATCGTCCGTTAGTATGAGGTCAACGCCTCTTCCGCGTGTCTCCCTCATGATGACCTCGTCATTGGCGCAATCTCTTGTAAGGTGAAGGTGCGTTGCTGAAAGTTCCGTGCCCATGTTTGACTTTGCTCTCGCGTTACTCACCTGGAATCGAAGGGTGCAGCATCTTCACGGTTTTCCATTGTTGCGTGGACCCGACGACCGCGAAAATGTCACACTTGTAAAACCGCGCAATGTTTATGGTCGCAAGCACCAGGTCATCCACAGCGCGCACCAAGACGCTCTGCCCCCGCCTGATCCTCGCCACCTGTTTCAATGGGCGAAGCTGGACTGTGATTGCAAGTTAACGCCTTACCTCAATAAGTCCCCAGACCACGTTGCTATAAGCAAAAGGTACGGTTGCCGCGTCCTCCATCGACCACTCCCTTGGAAACTCCCACAGTGCAAACTCATCGGCTACCGCTAAATTAGAAAGTCCACCATCCTGCACCAACCCCATAACTCGTCTGCCACTTGAGAACTAGTCAGTATCTAAACTCTCCAGATCAACCTACGTACCTCGCGTCCTTACCAGCGATTTCGATCCCGGCGCAGTAGTTTTCGGTAAACCTCCGCGTCGACGGGTTCGTGGTGAACGTCCCGGAAGCTTCGACCGCGTCCTTGGTGTTTAACGCACAGCTGTAAACGTGGACCAACCCCTGGGGGATCGATCCGCTGAGAGGACCCTCAATCCACCTGACCTTCGTCGTGTCTCCCCTGATGAATCTGCCCACGACGTGCTCGCAGTTTTGCGTCTCCAACCCGAGAGGTAGGTGACGATAGGTCCCCCACTCGCCGTCTCTCATCACGTTGATCAGTAAGCCCTTGCGCAGCTGATTCGCGTGGGCACCTTCGTCGAACGCGACGTCCATTAGGCAGCACGTGAGCAGCTTGCGGCTCACCTCCAACACCAAACAGTTAACCAACCCTACGAGTCCGCTGGTCGCGTCTCCGTCGGATACCAGCAGAACGTTTTGCGCGCGCGCCACGGCCCGCTTCACCTCATCTAACCACGTCATCGAGAAATCTACGCGAACCACCAGCGGGGAGACCTTGACGCATTTGCGAAGAAGAACCAACTCCTCCGCATCGGTTTGGTAGACCGATACAAGGTCTTCAGGTGACCACTTCGTGAACGTTCCGATGGGTTCGCGTGACAGTACGAACCCACCCTCTGGTAGCCTGGCGAAAATGGCCGAGAGGATCTGGAAGTACAACTTGAGCGTTTAGCGTAGTCGACGGGGTGGTTTACCGTCGGTCTTGTAAGCGCATCGGAAACGATCACCAGGTCGTTGTCATTGGACAGGTCGGAGATCGATCGCCGTTCCACGCTGAAATGGTCATGGTCGAGGGGCATTTCTGAAAATACTCTGAGACGACCTAGAGCTCTTGGCTCGTCCAATAGAGCCTCGTGGATTAAAGTCGACAGCAGCGGCTGGGGATGTCCTTCAATTACCTCAGTCGCCGTTATGGATCTTTCCTGGGTGTTTTCCAAGACGAGCTGGGTGTTAACTCTCATGGCAACTTCCAGTGAGAGCTTGCCTATGAGAGGAACAAAGCGGTATGCTTGCAAGGTAGGTGGAGGTTTCTTCCTTAGACCAACGGGAGTTGTACGTAGCGATTTCAGGTCGACCCCTGGTGATCTATAAAAAAACGTGTTAATGCAGGAGTTTGTGTTCCAATTTTTTCTCATGAAAATGGCGTGGGAAGGATCCGCAAAAGCAAAGGAAAAATAAAAATGAAGAGGTCCAAACTCTGAAAGGTGCTCATTCCCTGTCAAGGAAGAGTCAGACCAGCACAGACAAAGAAAATAAACATAAATCGAAGATTCTAGGGATTTTGATCCAGTGGATCAGGAGATTGGAGACTGTGGACTCTTTCCATATATGGGAGACAATGGATCCATTTGAGATTTTCGATCCATTAACGAAGCTTTGTCGTTTTTGGGCATTTTAAAGACTATGGATCATTTAAGGACTGCGAAAGCCCCTTTTCGTTTACTGGGGGGTATTGGAATACCCCAGGCCCCCGGTGCCCCAGAAAACACAACACCGTGGGTTCTGGGGGGTATGGAAGACTCCCAGCTGTGTGCATTTTCAATAAATTGGGGATTGCAGCCGTTTGGAAATTTTGGAACCTTTGAAAACCTTGGCCGCTTGGAAGACTGCCCTTTGGAGATTCTTTGGAGCACCAGGGACTCTATAGTACTTTGAAGAATTTGAAAACTGGAAACTATGCAGACTGCGGATTCTTTGAAGAGTATTATACTGTATCGTGTATCGTATCGTGTATCGTATCGTGTATCGTATCGTGTATCGTATCGTGTATCGTATCGTGTATCGTATCGTGTATCGTATCGTGTATCGTATCGTGTATCGTATCGTGTGTCGTATCGTGTATCGTATCGTGTATCGTATCGTGTATCGTATCGTGTATCGTATCGTGTATCGTATCGTGATCGTATCGTGTATCGTATCGTGTATCGTATCGTGTATCGTATCGTGTATCGTATCGTATCGTATCGTATCGTGTATCGTATCGTGTATCGTATCGTATCGTGGTATCGTATCGTGTATCGTATCGTGTATCGTATCGTGTACCAGCTTAAGTGGTCACCCCCCCCCCACACACAAATGAACACAAAATTTTAGAGAAGCTTGGCACACATACCTGATAAAGTTGCAATTGTGAGCCGACAAGGCGCGCACCGAGTCCTTCTTCTGGTCCTTCAACCGGATCAAGTGACGTGGAGCGTCCACCGTTAGATACCCGAGGTAGGTTGGCACTCGCAGCACGGACACCTTCTCCTTCACGCACATGATGTGGAAGATTCCGTCCAAGTACGTCATCCAATTTCCGTTCCACTTAACCATTGAGTCGGATCCATCGTAACTGATCCTCTCCAATCCGCGAAACTCCCCCCTAAAAGTTCATCTAAGAATCGGTCGCGCAAAGAGTCGCCTTACTTGTATTGGTAACCGACGAGTTTGAGCGACTTATACACGTCGGCCTCCTTCAGGACCTTGCCGGTGGTGGTGGCTATCGGCGAGTCGTCGATGGTCTCGCGTGCCAAAGCAGAACGTACGATACCCGTAACCAGGACGTTTTCCCCGTGGAACACCTCAAACTTCTTCGACACCTTGCAGATCTGCACCGTCAGCTGGATGGACTGAAATCGGTTCGTGGAAAGAACCAACTTCTTGAGAAACCTGACGTTTTCGAACACGACCTTGCCTTCCTCGAGCAGCAGGTCGGAGTGCTCGAGGTGCGTCCTCCAAACGATGGAAAGGTAGAGCGTCGCCGGAATCAGAAGTTGACCTGCAGATCTGGAGTGTGATCTGAGAGAGTTCGGACGCGTTTCTTACCGTCGACCACGTGACCTGAGAGAAGCTCATCGTCGCCGAGCGAGACCTTGAAGACCTTCGCCCAGTACTGCAGGTTGACCTTAAAGTCGTGGTAGTGGTACGATTCCTCATGGTTCCACTTAATCGACGGTGAAATTAGGGGCGCCTTCACCGGCCAAGCGGGTGGTGGATAAAGCTGCTCCAGCCGTGGATTGAAGCCGAGTTGGTACAGCCTGCTCAAAAGTACCAGTACCAGTAACTCCCAATTGGGAGAACTTACCTTCCTAATGATACAAGAAAGTTGTTCTGGAGCGGAACGTGTTGTGGCTGTGACTCAACCCCTAGGAGGGTGACCTGGTTTTTGATCGGCAAATCAGTAAGCTCTGTTGGAAGCCGTAACCGTTCCAAAACCGCGATCAGCGCGAGCTGGGAGAGATCTCGCGCCATAGTCATCTCTTCCTCGCCCAGTTCTAGGTTTTGCATCATTTTCTCAAAGACAACCCCCTTACAAATCCTGGAAATGCCCCTACAGTAAATTAAACCATCTGGCACTCTCTACCCGTAGAGATCCTCGCGAAATAGGTCCTTGATCGAGTGAAAAACCTCAACCCACTCCTCCGCCTCACCGCCCGCTAACACACGCAACTGCTTCCGCTTTTCTCGGCAAAATTCAACGGACCTTGCCACGTCTTCCCCGTCTTGGAGCAACAGAAACCCCCGCCAGTGAAATCCTGCAATGTTCTCCCTGCAAAAGGTCTTTTGTCCATTGCCTGCGCGTGACCATAACTCCTACCTGTACGTGCTTTGGAGGAGGGAGAGGTAATTTTCATTGCGGGCGTGAAGGGTGGCGCTTTTGAAGGTCAGCTCGCACGACTCGCGGGTTCGTGCACTGATGCAAATTAGGCGGTGGCCTCCCCTAAATTCGGGAGTGCAAGATTCGGCCCGCTCCAAAATGAGGTGCGCGTTCGTACCCCCAATTCCGTAGTTGTTGATACCTGAAAGGGATTATGCTGATTTTTTCGACCTCAAGGCTCTTAATATCCTTTCAAGGTTCACCCACAAAGTCTCAATGAACTCCAGTTCATGGAAAAAACCTTGAAATACCTTCAAAGGTTTTCCATTCTCCTAAAGTCTCCTCAAGGTTCACCATATTCAGGAGTCTAGAGAAACTCCAGGGTGCCTAAGGTTTTCACACACTCATGATGAAATTTCAAGGTCTTTGCAGATCCTTGGGGATTCTTTAAAAACCTTGAAACCTTAAAACCTTGAACCCTGAACCGTCTACTGGTGACACCTTTTGATGTCTAAGTGTGAAAGCTCGCCCAACGCCCTCAATTCATAAAGAGAAGAGGGGGGGGATCTTACCGACATATTTACTGCGATCCTCCATAACTTCAGTGAGAACGCGGATTTTTCCATCGCACAGCGCCGAAATGTCACTTCTCATTTTGGTAAGTGTCTTATTCGGAAGCAGGCAGTTGTTTTCCATGCCCAGTAAGACCTGCGCGCAAAAATGACGAGACGAACCGACTAAAAAGTGGTTACCTTAATGAGCGAACCCATCCCGGACGCTGCCTCTGAGTGCCCCATGTTTGACTTTACCGACGCGATGTAGAGGGGTGTTCTGGGATCGGCGCAGAAGACGTTGCTCAGCGCGGATATTTCGGGGGGTTCCCCCATCTTGGTACCTAGACGAATTCGCTTAGAAAATGATGGAAACGGGAAACTGGGCACCTGTAGCGTGAGCCTCTACAAAGTTAACGAGTCTGGGGTCAACCCGAGCCTCGGTGTAGGTCTCCTCCAGCAGCTCTTGCTTGACGTTTTCCGACAGTGTTAAAATTCCCTCGGGCTTGTACCCGTCGCAGTTCGTCTTGGTATGCACGACCTTGGCGTAGATCCGCTTGGCGTCCTTCATCTTTTGCAGGAAAATCACGGCGACCGTTTCCGATCTGACGATTCCACCGGCGGAATCGTCAAAGACGTTGCCAATTCCCTCCTTATCCAAAATGCCAACACTGCAAGAAGAGCGAAATTATTCGGCTTTGGATGAGTTCGGAGATCTACTGGAAGAAACCCGAGTGCACCCGGAAGTTCAACAAAAAGCTGGTACCGCCGACGATTGCGTTCTCGCACAGCCCCAGCTTGATCGCGCGGAAAGCGTGCTCCAGGGCGTAGAAGGACGACGAACACGCTGTGTCCACGTTCACCACCGGTCCCTCCAAACCCAAGAAGTAGCTCACCCTCTGCGCGTGCATAGATCTGGTGCCACTGCAAGTCAACGAATGAGAACCTGGAGATGTTGCGCTGCTTCTACCCCGTTATCCCGAAATGTGGACTGGACAAGTCCTGGTAAAGGAGGTACTCCTCGCACTCGTTAAATAGCCCATTCGCCATAAACACGCCAGTAGCGGACCCCCTCAAGCTGTCGGGGTTCGTGCCAGAATCGAGTAACGCCTCCACGGACTTCTCCAGCAACTTCCTGGAACCCGGATCCATCCCGTTCGCCTGATAACGGTGGACGTCTACAAGAAAAACCTAGTACGCGAACGCCACGACGATACCAACCGAAGAAGCCCGCGTCGAAACGGTCCAAGTGGCTTATTCTGCCGATCGTTGGAGGAACCTCGGGAAACATCACCTTCCAGTGTCTGGGCACGGCGTCCAGCATGTACCTCTTCGCGCGAAGGCTCTCGAAGAGCTCCTCGACGTTCTCGCATTTCGGAAAACAGCCAGACATCCCGGTGACGTAAATATCTTCGTCGCGCGACATTGTCTCGTCAATGACTAACGAATTTGGTCAAAAATAATTTGAATACAATCGATTTGCTTAATCAGGCGCATTGTGCGATTCCTATGAAGTGCAGGTCGAGAGATTAACAAACAATACGATGTTGCGTTCTAACATTGTCAATAGGTCCGATTGCGCTCCTACTTTGGCATACACGTCTAGGAGGTTCATGGTCAAAAAAGCAACTGTGCTCCTGATAATTAATTCTACTGTCATTATCTGGCATATCACAGGCACCCAAACGGCGAATTCTCTGCGATCCTGATCCTACGCGCCCGTTTAAGAGTTACGTGTGGTTCCATTTCAAATGACTGGGGGAAAAAGGTCGAAGGTTGTACAGCTGTGGTCCTGTTTCTCCCTTTACTTTACCTCGACTATTACTGTCCATTTTGTGAACGACGCGTGGGGCGTGAATCCAATCGGACATTCACAGAGCACTGCAAAGTAAAATTCTGATGCCCTGATCCCTCGCGCTTCGGAACTCCTCTCATACACCAGCTGACAGTACTTTGCTTTTAAAAAACCGTTTATTTAAAAGAGAAATGTGTAACAGGATGTTTACTTTAAAATAGTTGATGGTAAACAGTGGTTACACAATCCCAAAAGCGACCTTTCTGTGCTCCTGTTTGAAACTCATAAGTAGACATATTGTATCATTCAATATTATGTCATCCTGTTCCCCCGGGATACGTAGTTCTCTCATACACATTATACAGTACCGCCCCCTCGCCGTTTAAAATGTGTTACGAGATATTTAATTTGATTTAATTTACTTACCTGAAGAGAAGTAAGTTCTAGACACAAATTCTCTGCGCTCCTATTTTGCCACCAAAAACCTCCTAAGTGCCCTACTATAACAGTGGACGAATATACTTTAGGCCACTTGTACAGATATTGCGTGCGAATCAATGACCAACACGGTACTAACAATGAATATTCTGCGACCCTGATACCTCGCGTTTCATAATTCTTGCATACATCTCGCCTAAATTCTATTAAAAACAATGTGTCACATAGTGATTCAGTTACGGTGCCAGAAGCAAACCTTCTGTGCTCCTGTTTTACCTACCTCCTCACGGTTCTACATAAAATGCACCGTCAGATGTATTGTATGTTAAGTTGGGGCGGTTTATTTGGTAATCTGATTCCATTCCAATACCCACACGGTACCAGATAGGCTATGATCCTGACTTGCCGCCTTTCGGAATTTAAAAAAGATGTGGCGCAGGTAGTATTAGAAATTCCTTAAATACAACGAGAGGTCATACAGAACCAGAAGCACACATTTTGCGCACGGCACCAGGAACACATACGTACTGCGAGCCTGATCCAGAGATTCCTTTCGGCGTCTCACAGCACTATCCTCGAACAACGAGCAATCCTGCTGTACTCCTGTTTTTTTCTGCAAAGAGATATCTCACAATTGTACCTCTATAAATTTTCTGTGCCCCTGATTTTCTGTCAAACATTCCCGCATATAAGTGAATATGCTGTAACCCTGATCCTCCGCGCTCCAAAATGGTTCCGCACACTACCTCTGCTGTTCCAATGCCGTTTATTTAGGAAAAAACGTGTTGCAGGATGAAGTTAGCTCAAGTGTAGCAGGTGTTACACAGTACCAAAAGCAAATTTGAAACGTTTTTGGGGGAGAACGTAGTACCAGCGGTTCTGGGGGGATGTTATACCATCTAGCAATACCCTGAGCAAAGGAAGACTTGACATTATTTGTTTCTATAACCCCTAACGATGTCATGCTAGATTTTGAGATTTTCATATGCAGCCGGGGGGGGGGGGGGGGTTAGTATAGACCCCCCCGTAGTACCTTCCGCAAAAGAACACTTGATCTTTTTTTCTCTATTGCAGCTAACGACCTCATGCTAGCCTTTGAGAGAAGGTAATCCAATTTTTAAATACTGGCGGGGGGGGGGGAGATTCCACAACCTCCTGACCCTCTGGTTGTACGATGATGCGCTCAGACTCTCATATGCTAACGATAAATGTTGGAAAGAACGAAGTACCAGGATGTCTGGAGAATACCTCCCTCCCCCGCACCCACCCGAACCCTCGGCAAAGAGGTCCTGATAATTTTCTCTATTGAACTCATCGACCTCATGTTAGCTCTTCAAAAAAGGGAATCAAATTTTCATATTCTGACCGAGGGGTATTCCATACCCCCCACAACCCCCGGCATTACGATTTCTCTTAATTAGTTCTTAGAAGCGACAGACTCTCTTTGTATGGTAACATTAAATGTTAAACGTTTTTGGGGAGAACGTATTACCAGGGAGTCTGGGGGGTATGTTATACTATCTCGCAATACCGTGAGCAAAGGAAGACTTGACAATATTTGTTACTATTACCCCTAATGACCTCATGTTAGATTTTGAGATTTTCATATACAGCCTTGGAGGGGGGGGGGATTCTACACTATTACGTTTTCCCACAGGAGCGCTCAGACTCTCATAATTAGTTATTAGAAAAGGACAGACGAATCTTTCTTTCCTGTAGAGTATACTAACTGTAAACGTTTTTGGGGAAAACAGTCCAGGGGGTCTGGGTAGTAGAGAACACCCCCCCCCCCCCAGTAATGCCTTCAGCGAAAGAAGACTTGACCTTTTTTTTTCTCTATTGCACCCAACGACCTCCTGTTAGCTTTGGAGAAAAGGTAATCAAATTTTCAAATACTGGTTGGGAAGGGGGGGAGGGAGTATTCCACACCTTCCTGACCCCGCGTTGTACGATTTACCACAACCGCGCTCAGACTGTCATATGCTAACGCTAAATGTTGTTGGAAAAGAACGTAGTACCAGGATGTCTGGGGAATGCCTCTCTACCCCGCCCCCAGCAAAACTCTCGGCAAAGACGTCCTGATAATCTCTATTGAACCTATAGACCTCATGTTAGCTCTTGAGAAAACTAAACCAAATTTTCTTTTTCTGACCGAGGGGTATTACATGCCCCCCCCCCCCCCCCCCGAACCCCCGGCATTACGATTTCCCGCAAGAGCGCTCATACTCTCATAATTAGTTCTTAGAAGCGACAGACTCTCTTTCCTGTAGGGTATGCGGTAACATTAAATGTAAAATCTCTTTAAAATCTCTTCAAAAATCTCCTTAAAATCTTTTCAAAATCCCTTCAGAGTCTCTTCAAAATTTCGTCAGAGTCTATTCAAAATCGCTTCAAAGGCTCTCCAAAATCTCTTCAGAATATTTACCATCTTCAGAATCTGTTGAGAATGTCTTCAAAATTTCTTTAGAATCTCTTTAAAATCTCTTTAAAATTTCTTTAAACTTTCTTTAAAATCTCTTTAAAATTCAAATTCAAAATTTGTTCAAAATTTCTTTAGAATCTCTTTAAAATCTCTTTAAAATTTCTTTAAACTTTCTTTAAAATCTCTTTAAAATTCAAATTCAAAATTTGTTCAAAATTTCTTTAGAATCTCTTTAAAATCTCTTTAAAATTTCTTTAAACTTTCTTTAAAATCTCTTTAAAATTCAAATTCAAAATTTGTTCAAAATTTCTTTAGAATCTCTTTAAAATCTCTTTAAAATTTCTTTAAACTTTCTTTAAAATCTCTTTAAAATTCAAATTCAAAATTTGTTCAAAATTTCTTTAGAATCTCTTTAAAATCTCTTTAAAATTTCTTTAAACTATCTTTAAAATCTCTTTAAAATTCAATTTCAAAATTTTTTCAAAATTTCTTTAGAATCTCTTTAAAATCTCTTTAAAATCCCTTTAAAATCTCTTTAAACTCTCTTTAAAATCTCTTTAAAATTTTTTAAAAATCCCTTTAAAATCTCTTCAAAATCTCTTCAAAATCTTTTCAAAATTTCTTCAAAATCTTTTCAAAATCTCTTCAGAAGCTCTACAGAATCTTCTCAAATCTCATCAAAACTTCTTCATAATCTTCTCAGAACTTCTTCAAAATCCCTTCAGGGTCTCTTCAAAATTTCGTCGGAGTCTATTCAAAATCGCTTCAAAGGCTCTCCAAAATCTCTTCAGAATATTTACCATCTTCAGAAACTGTTGAGAATGTCTTCTAAATCTCTTCAAAATCCGTTCAAAATTTTTTCAAAATTCTTTAGAATCTCTTTTAAAATCTCTTTAAAATCTCTTTAAAATCCCTTTAAAATCTCTTTAAACTCTCTTTAAAATCTCTTCAAAATCTCTTCAGAAACTCTACAGAATCTTCCCAAATCTCATCAAAACTTCTTCATAATCTGCTCAGAACTTCTTCAAAATCCCTTCAGAGTCTCTTCAAAACTTCGTCGAAATCTATTCAAAACTTCTTCAAAATTTCTTCAAAACCTATTCAAAATCTCTATAACATCTCTTCAAAACCTCTTCAAAACTTCTTCGGAATCTACCCTAATCTCTTCAAAACTTCTTCATAATCTTCTCAGAAACTCTTCAAAATACCTTCAGGGTCTCTTCAAAACTTCGTCGGAATCTATTCAAAACTTCTTTAAAATCTCTGCAAAATCTCTTCAAAATCTCTATAAAATCTCTTCAAAACCTTTTCAGAAATTCTACAGAATCTACCCAAATCTCTTCAAAACTTCTTCATAATCTTCTCAGAACCTCTTCAAAATACCTTCATGGTCTCTTCAAAATTTCGTCGGAATCTATTCAAAATCTCTTCAAAATCGATTCAAAGGCTCTCCAAAATCTCTTCAGAATATTTACAATCTTCAGAATCTCTTCAGAATCTCTTCAGAGTCTCTTCAGAATCTCTTCAAAATTTCTTCAAAATCTCTGCAAAATCTCTTCAAAAGGACAGACATATCTTAGTGTAGAGTATGCTAACACTAAATGTTTTTGGGGAAGAACGAAGTACCTGGAAGTCGGGGGGGGGGGGGGGGGGTTATTTCATACCAGCCAGTACATGACAATTTGATTACCTTGTTCTCAAAAGCTACCACGAGGTTAGACAGAGAAAACAATTTATTATCAAGTCTTCTTTTGCTGAAGGTATTGGTGGGGGTTTAGGGAACCGGGAAGATTCAAACAGTTAGGTCAAGGATTTAAGTTCAAAGGCATCCATCTGTTTTTAGCGATTTTATTTTGTTGTCATTTCTGGGTCATTGTTCAGCTGTTCAGTTTCCCAAGGTACCCTCCGTAAGTCTGGAATGGAGTAACTCAAAACCATTGGTAAAGCGTGTATATTGCACTTACTGATAGAGCGTTACCTTTCTAAGCTTGGGAATCGATATGACGATGCCGAGTTTGTCTTCGAGCAACTGTTGCACCTGAACTCCACTGATGGAATCCATTCCCAATTCAGCGAATGTTGTATTCAAACTTACGTGCTCGAAGTAGATGCCTACAAAATTACTTATGTCGCTATTTCAGAGTTATCATATAGCACAAGTACGTACTGTGTACGTCCATAGAATGTACATTTCCGTACAAACGTACGTACATCATACGTACAGTCATGTACGCCGCCGTACACTGTACGTACCTGGTACGTTGCTATGGCATAGCATTGTACCAAACAAGTACGTACACACTGTACGTATAGTGTACGTTTTGTGTACGTCGGCGGTACATGACTGTACGTATTATGTACGTACGTTTGTACGAAAATGTACGTTCTATGGGCGTACATGCCAACTTCCTTATTTTCATCCGTTGTACGTACAAAGTACGTACATGTTTTGTACATGGACGAACGTACGTGAAAAGTACGAAAAATGTACGTACTATGTACGTATGTGCACATACCCATAGCTAGTGCAACTTCTGAAACGATATCTGTGATGGGTGAAAGGTCATTGGTTTCCAAAGTAGGCAACACACTGCACGTGACAACAGCGTCGCCTTGCTTCAGTAGTGCGTCCAACGCCTGAAGGTACACGGAGACCTTTTGTCGGGTGGTCCCACCAACGGGAGTCAAAGGCCCTCTTGGGTCACCTTCCAGTAACCCAACCTACACACAGCGTCAAAGTTCTATCAAGAGAGCCACAACTCACGTTCAAAACCGCGCCCCACTGAATCGCAACCGCCGGGTAGCCGTCCCTCCGTCGGACCTCGCAGACTCGTTCCATAACCGCATTTGCCATAGCGTAATTGCTCTGTCCAACATTACCTTTGCCACAACTGACCGAAGAGAACACCACAAACCACCTGAAAGCATCATTCGCAAACCTCCTCCTCCTCTCGCACAACCCACCTCAAATTTACAAGTGACCTTCTGGAGACGACGTCCAGGTTCCTGGTAATGAGGGCTTTGGGCGCAAACGACGCCTGGAACTTCTCGACCGTCTGATTCTCAAAGAGGGCGTCATTCAAAACGACGGCCACGTTGAAGATACCGTCAATCTCCCCTAAGTGACTGAATTCGGTTACCAACCGCTCGCATCCGTCCAACGTTCGCAGATCTTGACGGTCGATTTCCACCGTCACGCCTGCGCGCCTCCAAACCCTAGCGCCAGGCGGTCAGGGTTGTGTTGCGATGCTGGCCACTTACCCCACTTTGAAGCTTTGGTAATCGGTCAGTGTTAGACGAGTCGTGACCAGCACGAGGGCTCTCGCACCTCGGGCGACTAGCCAATCGGCAAGCTCCAAACCGAAACCTCCGAGGCCGCCGACTATGACATACACTTTGGAGGGGTCGCAGTAGAACCTGAAATGCAAGGGGGATACAATGCCATGCTCAAGTGCCGCAACTGTGTAAACCTGGGGATTGCACGGAAGGGTTCCGGTTTCTCTTCGTCCTTGACCTTGACAATCACTTTACCGATGTGCGAGCTCTGCTCCAGGTGGCTGAGACCACTTTTCGTCTCAGTTCTACCAATGACCAGTCGAGTGATGGGTTTGACGTAGCCTACCCGAATGCCTTCGGCCAGGAGATTATGCAGTCCTTGTTTATCCTCCAGTTTGAGTGCGCCAATATCCACCCCGACCACGGTGCGCCCGTTTGCAGTGCAGCCGAGGTCGAAACGTTCGTTTTTAAGAGCGTTGCTTCGGCCAATTTCGACCATGGTGCCTCCCTTGGCCAGGCAGCGGAAGCTCGCTCGCGTTCCTCCCATGGCTAACGAGTTCAGTATCAGATCGACGCCTCTTCCGCCAGTTTTCCGGATTACTAATTGCTCAAAAATCTCGTCGCGAGACTCGCCGATGTGGTCGGCTTAAAGTGGAAGATCGTACGAATTCGGTGAAAGCTGACTAGTTACCTGGCAAACTCGGGAACAGTTCGAGCATGGTTTTCCGCTTCTTTACGGTTCCGACGGTGGTGAAGATAGCGCAATTGTAAGCCATGGCGATGTTGATTGCAGACTGGCCAACTCCCCCGGCGCCTCCGTGAACTATAACGCTCTGTCCCCTCCTGAGTTTTCCCACCTGGTATGTTTCCCGATGTGTGATTGGCCAACGACCTGATAATACTCACCACAATTAGCGTGTAAAGAGCGGCGCAGTAGGTTAGTGGAATCGTAGCCGCTTCGTCCAGGCTCCAGTGCTCGGGCACCTGCCAGGTGAGCAGTGGGTCCAGAACGACCTCGTCACGCAGAGCACCATCCCTTACCAATCCCATCACTCGTTCTCCACTGCAAAAGTAAGATTTAATAGATATTTTTAGATTTTGAAGAAATTTTGAGGATTTTTGAAGAGGGTTTGAAGAGATTTTGAAGAGATTTTGAAGAGAATTTGAAGAGATTTTGAAGAGATTCTGAAGAAACGCGCATGAGAAATTTTGAGAGGATTTTGAATAGATTTTGAAGAGACTCTGAAGGAGATCGTGAAGATTCTAAATGTTCTGAAGAGATTTTAGAGAGCCTTTGAAGCGATTTTGAAGAGATTTTGAATAGCTTCCGACGAAATTTTGAAGAGACCCTGGAGGGATTTTGAATAGGTTCTGAGAAGATTATGAAAAAGTTTTGAAAAGATTTAGGGAGATTCTGTAGAGGTTCTGAAGAGATTTTGAAGAGATTTTGAAGGGGTTTTGAAGGGATTTTGATGAGATTTTGAAGAAATTTTTCAAGAGATTTTGAATAGCTTCCGACGAAATTTTGAGGAGCCCTGGAAGGATTTTGAATAGGTTCTGAGAAGATTATGAAAAAGTTTTGAAAAGATTTGGGGAGATTCTGTTGCGGTTCTGAGCAGATTTTGAAGAGATTTTGAAGATACTTTGAAGAGATTTTGAAGAAATTTTAAAGGGATTTTGATGAGATTTTGAAGAAATTTTGAAGAGATTTTGAACAGATTTTGAGGAGATTTTGAAGAAATTTTGAGGATTTTTGAAGAGGTTTTAAAAAGATTTTGAAGAGAATTTGAAGAGATTTTAAAGAGATTCTGAAGAAACGCGAATGAGACTTTGGTAATATTTTGAAGAAATGTTGAGAGGATTTTGAATAGATTTTGAAGAGACTCTGAAGAGATTGTGAAGATTCTAAATATTCTGAAGAGATTTTAGAGAGCCTTTGAAGCGATTTTTAAGAGATTTTGAATAGCTTCCGACGAAATTTTGAAGAGACCTTGGAGGGATTTTGAAGAGGTTCTGAGAAGTTTATGAAAAAGTTTTGAAGAGATTCTGTAGAGGTTCTGAAGAGATTTTGAAGAAATTTGGAAGAAAGATTTTGAAGAGATTCTGAAGAAATGCGAATAATATTTTGGTAATATTTTGAAGAAATTTTGAAGAGATTCTGAAGAGATTGTGAGGATTCTAAATATTCTGAAGAGATTTAGGAGAGCCTTTGCAGAGATTTGAATAGCTTCCGACCAAATTTTGAAGAGACCCTGGAGGTATTTTGAAGAGGTTTTGAGAAGATTATGAAAAAGTTTTGATGAGGTTTGGGGAGATTTTGTAGAGGTTCTGAAGAAATTTTGAAGAGATTTTGAAGATATTCTGAAGGAATGCGAATGAGATTCTGGTAATATTTTGAAGAAATTTCGAGATTTTGAATAGATTTTGAAGAGATTCTGAAGAGATTGTGAGGATTCTAAATACTCTGAAAAGATTTTGGAGAGCCTTTGAAGAGGTTTAGAATAGCGTCCGACCAAATTTTGAAGAGACCCTGGAAGGATTTTGTAGAGGTTCTGAAGAGAATTTGAAGAAATTTTGAAGAGATTTTGAAGAAATTTTGAAGAGATTTTGAAGAGATCCTGAAAAGATTCAGAAGAGGTTTTGAAGAAATTATGAGGAGAGCATGGAGGGATTCTGTAAAGCTTTTGAAGAGATTTTGAAGGGTTTTGTAAACAGATTTTGAAGAACTGATGCTCCTATAACGTCTACTAACTCAACAGTCCATAGTCCCCATGACTTCTATGATTTCTGCGGTCTGTATGGTACCTACCCATGGTGTATCATATCCACAGCTTAAGCGATCCCTTTAGTATCTCTGCCGTCGGTACAACCTTTATGGCCACTATAGTCTCCTTGGACCATTTTCTGGTCTTCTGTGTTTTCTATGTTAAATGGTTTGTTTGCCTCTATGACCTCGTCGACCTTTGCGGTACCCATGCACTCCTTGGTCTCTATGGTTTTAATCGCCTACTACCGCCTTTATGACCTACTCTCTCTATTGTTCCCATAGGGCTCTATAATATAGCCCCCATGTTCTTCATGATCTGTATGGTTTCTTATGTTCAGTCCCTATAGCTTCTATGGTCTGTATGCTACTATAGTCTTCCGTTTTTGTAGTATCAGAGATTTCTGTAGTCTCCATTGTCACTATTCTTTATAGCTTTATAAACTCTATATTGCATCTATAGTCTTTATTGTATCTACAGTTTATATGTTTTCCATGATCTCCACGGTTTCTATGCTTTCCATGTTCATTGAACCGTTTGGTTCTATGAATCCTATGGTAAATATCTCCCCATGGTCCCACGATGGTCCTCTACGATCTTTATCGCATAATTGTGATCCCCATCTCTATGTGATGTGTTTGTAGTTTCTACGGTTTCTATAGCCTCTAAGGTTTCTCTACGCAGTTTTCCATGGTGTGCAGTTTCTATGGCCCTTATGGGCTATCGTTTCCGTAGTCTCAACGGTCTCTGTGGTCTGTATGGTCTCTCTGGCCTTTATGATTCTTATGGTATCTAAGGTCTCCATGGCATCTATGAGCTTCCAGGTGCTTTTACGTTCAATGGTCGGTTTGGTATCTATGTGCCCTATACCATACATGGTCCTTATGGTATCTAAAACCTGTATGGGCCCCACAGTATGAGTCTCGGTACCGTTTCGATAGTCTCTATGGATTCGATTGCTTCCATGAATTCTATGGTCTGTGCGGTATTTCTCAAAAATCTATAGTCTTTGTGATCAATCGTTACTCTATGGTCTCTATGCATTGCATGGTTTCTATGCTTTCTATGTTCAATGGCGCGTTTGCCATTTGGTCTTTATGGTCTGTATGATCCTTATGTTCCCTACAGCGTGTATGGAGTTTATGGGCCCCACGACTTCTGATCTACCATCTCAATGGTTTTTATGATTTCTCTGACCTGCATGGTACGTGTCTATAGTCTATCGCTTTCGTTGTATCAGTGGTCCCTATAGTCTTTATTTCTATGGTCTTTGTAATATGTACGGTTTCTACAGTATTTGGAGCTTTTGGGGTCTCCATGATCTCCATAGGCTCCACGGTTCTCAAGCTGTCTATGGTCTACAGTCTTTATGATTTTTATGGCACCTATGTTCCTTATAGCTTATAATATGGTCCCAGTGGTCTATCGTTTCTGTAGCTGCCCCCGTAGTCCCTGTTGTCGTCAAAACCAATAGGATCTCTATAGAGACCCTTAACAACCATTAGGGACACCAACAACTAGGCGAAACGCAAAGACTAAAGACACTAGAGATTTACGGGTTCTAAATTATTTAAACACTTCAGACCTGAAGACTCTAGAGGCTCGTATGAATTGACAAACCCCAACGACTCTGACAAGTCCTAGGTCTCCATGGAGTCAAAAGCCAAAAATTGCAAGGGATCCACAAACACACATTCCGAGCCCCTATAAAACACCCCACAGGTCTGGAAAGCATAGATGCTCTTACAATTCGAAAGGCTCTAATAAGCCCCCAGGCTCTATGGACCCTATGGAACCCAATGTCTCTAGGAACCGTATGAATATTGAAGGCATTAATTAATAAGGCATTGATGAAGTTCTTACCTAGGGGTCCTACCGGAGAACTCGCATCCCAGCGCAACTTCGTTGGATTTTGAAACGCCATGAACCCTACCACTTGCAACGAGTAAATCGTTGTGACACATCCCCGCGTAGTTCACCTTCGCCGTGGGTAAGCGATCGGGAGCCGCCGGCGCTTGCACCCAGCGAAAACTGGCGATGTTCCCCATCTCGACCACTCCGGCCGCGTGTTCGCACTTCACTCCTCCATCCGTAGCCAACGGAAGGTGCAGGTAGCCGCCCCACTCCCCGTCCTTCCAAACGTTCATAAGTAGGCGCTTGCGCAGTTGGCCGCTGTAGAAAGCGTCGTCCGGCCGAAAACTCGGGGCGTCGTCGATGATGTAGACGTACGAAATCGACCGATCCTCGTACTCGAGCCTTAAGGTTCGCACGAGACCGAGGATACCGCTGAACGAGTCGTTTTGAACTACGAGTGCGATGTTGTCGTTTCCGCCGAGGGCGGCTTGCAGCTGGGCTATCCACGCGAAGCCGTCCTCGAGACGAATCACCGTCGGTGGTTGGTAACGGGTGATCTTCCGCAGAAGGTAAAGCACAACGTCGCCGGTTGCTTGCATTGATATGACCTCAGCGTTGTCCACGCGAGGTAGCGCGTCGGTCCCGCAATTCACCAGGAGAAAGGCGCCTTCTTGCATATTTTCCACAATTTGGGAGAGATTAAGATTTGCGGTCGAAACGACCACGAGACCCGTGTCGCTCGCGATGTCCTTAACGGATTTGCCCGTGATAGTGTGTTGGAGCAGGTACTCGTTCAGAATGGGCGTGATGTCGAATCGTTCGCCGAGAATCTCGACCACCCTCAGACATCCCGGTTCTTTGTTATCGAGCACGATTTTCAACGTGGCACGGATAGCGTCGTCATAGCTGAGTCGGCCCAGGTACGGAACAAACCTGTACGTCTCCAAAGTGGGTTTCTGGGCGCCCATCTTCTGGGAGTTAGGCAAACAAGTGACTCCTCTGATTTCAGCGAGCGGTGACCTGCAAGTTTCGGTTTAAATGGTAATCAAAAGGGGGTGGACCCTTTACTTCACCAGGGTGCATTCGAGAGGTGCACGTACAAATTGGCTGCACTTCGGCTGGCAGCTGGTTGGGTTTATGGTGATGTGATCGATTGCGGTTATAACGCCTTGGTCCCACCCACTCACATGCCTCACAGAAAGCACGTGATCGAGGAAGGTCACCAAGTTGCCGTCCCACTTCACTAGGGCTTCCGTACCTTCGAAATTGACCTGTTCGATTCCGCGAAAGTCGTTTCTGGAACAGGATTATGAGCACTGACTGGACCCGGTGAGTTCACTACCTGTATTCATGCCCGTACAGAGCTAGGTGCTTGTAAACGGAGTTGAGGAAGAGAGGATTTGTGATTGTCAAGCCGGTACTGCAGTCAATGGCTGGTGAAGTGTCGAATTCAATCGTGCCACTAACCACGAGCTGGCCACCGTGAGATATCTGGAACAAACGCTGTCAACTCAGGTCGATCCAAAATGGAGCCGAACCTCAAACCGCTTGGTCACTTTAAAAATTTGCACTGAGAGCTTCACGCTCGAGCTCTTCGAGATGACCACGACGCGATGTAAGTGAATATTCTTCATTACGACGCCTCTTTGCCAAATCAAAGTCCGCTCCAATTCGCCAAACGCTTTCCGTACGAAATGGAGATACGCCGAGGTTGGCACGATGCTACGACCTCCAAAGATCTGTAGATTTCAGGGCTCAAAGTCAAGTTTCTTACCATCCAAGATGTGATCCACCAGGAAACTGAGATCCTCCTCGGCGTCCAAGCCATTTATGTCAACCAACTTCTCCCGAGCCACGTTGCTTTCGGGGGTTATCACATGAAAGCTGTCCTCGTGATTCCACGTGATCAATGGCGATATTGAGGGTGAGCTCACCGGCCATTCGTTTGGGTATAGCTTGTCTATTCTAGGATCGAGGCCCGCTTCGTAAAGGCTAAAAGCGAAACTCGTCAAAATCCGAGACTATAAAGATCCGTAAGACACCAGGAAAACCAATCACTTTTGGGAGTCGAGAATCTTTCGGTGCTAGTGCGTATAGGTACCTATTTGACCTTGCCAACCCTGAGGATCCTCGGGACACTAAAAACCATAACATGCCCCCGAAGGTTCCAAGGTGCCGAGACTCCAAAGGCTCCCAAAGACTCAAAAGGTTTCGAAAACTCACACGAAATGTAAAGACACAAACCACTACACTCCAAAGGCTTTTTGAATTCCGAGTATTGTGAAACCGCATAGACGAATTTATAGACCTTTCACACCCTATAAACGCCGATATCTCAGTCATCCCAGGAACCCTAACCAAGGGCCCAATATACCGTATTCCCTAAAAACCTCAAAGTACCCGTAACACCTCTAGAGATCCCAAAATCTCTAACGTCTAACAACCCTAAAGGTCTCAACACCTACCACGTTAAAGACTACACGTCACAAAAGAGTTTGAAAGTCTTGAACAATTTCTATGAAAGCTTTGAACCCTAGGGAGTCCCATAAAACTAAGGACCCTAAGAGGCCTGAAAAGCTGTAACGATCCTAAAGCATCTAACGCCTAATAGGCCTAACGGACATCTAGCTAGAATACCAAAGTCCCTAGGCGATGCAAGGGCTCAAGACACTCCAAATGTACACTCCACAGAAAACCTCAAAGGACCCCAAAAACTGAAGGCTAGATTTTGACTCTAAAAGCCTATCGATTCCAGTGACATTAGACACCCGAAAGGCCTCAGATTATCATAAAACCTATGGCCCCTAGAGACCATAGAGACTCTACAGATTTTGATCATTACGTTCCCAGTGTCATTCTAGAAACCCTTAAATCCAAAAAAAACCTTTGGGATCCCATAACCACAAAGACCTCAACGATACCAAGGTGTAGTGTTTAGGAAAACCAAAAATTTTAAAGACCCCAAGAGATGAAATTGCTCAAATAGCTTGGATCGAGTTTAAGGGCCATAAAATTGTATAGACCCTAGAAACCCCAGATACATGGTACTCCTTCTAGCCTCAGAGGCCAGAGGGACCTAGAATCTCAGAAAACCCCAGAGGCATCACACGTATAGACCAGATCATAAAGATAGATCTTATAACCATAACGACTTTACTCCAAGGAACCATGGGCTCCTAGGGTACCAAAAACTCAAAATATCTCCAAAACTTTAAAGTTGAAAGGTTCCAGAAGCTGTAAACTTAGATATCTCAAAGTCCCTCGAGACCCTAGGTAAAATACTGACCCTACTCCACTTATTTTGCCTTTTTTTTATTTTGCCTTTATTTTTGAGTGGACGGGGTTTCAGCCAAGGCTGCTCTACCAACCCAACCCACTATACATTTACAAATATCCATGCCCGAACCCGGATTCGAACCAGGGACCCTAGCACCACAGTCCAGCTTTAACTGAACTGCGCCACACGGGCCGGCTAAAGAGATTGATGACCTTAGAAACCCTACACTAATTGATATATTAGATGCTTTAAATACTCAAGGGCCCAAGGATTTCAAAAGAACTTTTCAAACTCTAATCTAAGAACTGCAAAAACAGAAAAGACTCAAAATGAATTATACAACGATTCAAAGGTTTTCAAGGATCTCAAAACTTTAAGCGCTCTTCGACAACTAAGATCACCAAAGGACTCGGCAAACTACGAAGCATGGCCAAGAGTCACAAAGAAACCTAAGACCCCAAAGGTCTTAAGAAGATTTAAACAGTCTCAATCTTTGAGGATTCTTATATTTTAAAGGGTCGAGAAGATGTAAACTCTCGTAAGCTCCTAAAGGCTATGAGGACGCGAAAGGCTCCAAAGTTTTCAAGGCTTTAAAGGGATCTAAAGGTTCTAAAACCTGTAAGTATCTAGCAAATGTATGTACTCCAAGGCTTTATCGGTACAACCATTCTTAAAAACTCCAAGTTTTTAAAAAGGCTTCAGGTTCTAATTTCTCAAAGGCCCAAAGGTTTTAAATTATCTAAAGCCTCTGAAAATTCCAAGACTTTTACCGACAAAATCCCTCAATGAACACAAAAACCTAAGGATCCCAAAGTTCTTAAATGGTCCAAGGATCACAAGAACTCCAGGCGAACCAATCACCCCAAACACTCAAGGCATCTCAAGGACCCTAAAAAACTTCAACGCCCCGAACAGCCGCAAAGACTCAAAAAACTTCAAGGTTCTAGCAACGCAGGCTCCAAATTCTCCAAAAACTAAGAACACAAGAAACTAAGACTAACTAAGAAACACAAAGACCTAGGGATCCCAAGGTTCCTAAAGGGCCCAACGATCCCAAGAACTACAGACGAACCAATCACCCCAAACACTCAAGGACCCTAAAAAACTTCAACGCCCCGAACAGCCGCAAATACTCAAAAAACTTCAAGGTTCTAGCAACGCAGGTTCCAAATTCTCCAAAACTAAGGTTTTAAAGTATCTAAAGGTCGTGGGGATTCAAAAACTTGAAAATTCGACAAAAGTCGTGAAAAACACAAAGATCTAAGGATCCCAAAGTTCATAGAGGGTCCAACTATCACAAGAACTCCAGACGAACCAATCACCCCAAACACTCAAGGCATCTCAAGGACCCTAAATAGCTTCAACGCTCCGAACAGCCGCAAAGACTCAAAAAACTTCAATATTCTAGAAACGCAGGCTTCAAATCCTCCAAAAACTAAGGTTTTAAAATATGTAAAGGTCCTGTGAGTTCAAAAGCTCAAAAGGCCGACAAAAGTCGTGAAAAAACACAAAGACCTAAGGATCCCAACGATCTTAAAGGGTCCAACGATTAAAAAAACTCCAAACGCATCGATCGCCTCAACTACAAAGACTCAAAAAACTTCAAGGTTCTAGCAACGCAGGTTCCAAATTCTCCAAAAATTAAGGTTTTAAAATATCTAAAGGTCCTGTGGGTTCAAAGGCCCAAAAGGCCGACAAAAGTAATGAAAAAACACAAAGACCTAATGATCACAACGATCTTAAAGGGTTCAACGATCAAAAAAACTCCAGACGCATCGACCGCCTCAACTACAAAGACTCAAAAAACTTCAAGGTTCTAGCAACGCATGTTCCAAATTCTCCAAAAACTAAGGTTTTAAAATATCTAAAGGTTCTGGGAGTTCAAAAGCTCAAAAGGCCGACAAAAGTCATGAAAAAACACAAAGACCTAATGATCACAACGATCTTAAAGGGTCCAACCTTCAAAAAAACTGCAGACGCATCGACCGCTTCAACTACAAAGACTCAAAAAAATTCAAGGATCTAGCAAAGCAGGCTCCAAATTCTCCAAAAATTAGGGTTTTAAAATATCGAAAGGTCCTGTGGGTTCAAAGGCCCAAAAGGCCGACAAAAGTCATGAAAAAACACAAAGACCTAATGATCACAACGATCTTAAAGGGTCCAACGATCAAAAAAACTCCAGACGCATCGACCGCTTCAACTACAAAGACTCAAAAAAATTAAAGGATCTAGCAATGCAGGTTCCAAATTCTCCAAAAACTAAGGTTTTAAAATATCTAAAAGTCATGTGGGTTCAAAGGCCCAAAAGGCCGACAAAAGTCATGAAAAAACACAAAGACCTAATGATCACAACGATCTTAAAGGGTCCAACCTTCAAAAAAACTCCAAACGCATCGATCGCCTCAACTACAAAGACTCAAAAAACTTCAAGGTTCTAGCAACGCAGGTTCCAAATTCTCCAAAAACTAAGGTTTTAAAATATCTAAAGGTTCTGGGAGTTCAAAAGCTCAAAAGGCCGACAAAAGTCATGAAAAAACACAAAGACCTAATGATCACAACGATCTTAAAGGGTCCAACGTTCAAAAAAACTCCAGACGCATCGACCGCCTCAACTACAAAGACTCAAAAAACTTCAAGGTTCTAGCAATGCAGGCTCCAAATTCTCCAAAAACTAAGGTTTTAAAATATCTAAAGCTTCTAGGAGTTCAAAAGCTCAAAAGGCCGACAAAAGTCATGAAAAAACACAAAGACCTAATGATCACAACGATCTTAAAGGGTCCAACGATCAAAAAAACTCCAGACGCGTCGACTGCCTCAACTACAAAGACTCAAAAAACTTCAAGGTTCTAGAAAAGTTAAAGGGTCCAAATTCTACGAAGGCTCTAAGTTTCTAAAATTTCTGAAGGCTATGAAGGTTCCAAGGCTTTACCGATAAAAGCCGTCGAATCCCAAGAATCTTAAGGGGTTCAACGATCAGCCTAAGGGCTGCAGGTGACTCACCGTCCGATCGCCAACAAGAAGGACGACACATCAACGACCGCATGCGTGGTGTCGTCCACATGCAACAGTAATTGTCCTGTTGCCACCGTTTCCGTCATCTTTTCCAAGAGGTATCGGGACACCACTTCCTTACCTCCAAGTGCCTCCATTACTCGTCCGAGGCGAGGTTCTGAAACGTCATCCAAAAACTGACATGCCACGAATAAGACTTCCTCGGCTGTAATGGCGCCTTCGGCATAACCTCCAGCTAGGGCACCGCTCGACGCGGCACTGACGTATCCGATGGGAAGTTCCAGCAGCTTCAACACGTCCACGAAAGCGAGCTGTGAGACGACCGAGTTGAGGAGCGTCGTCTGGGCGCCGGATTTGGTTAGCAATCCGTGGTACCTCGCCATGCTTTTCCGAAATTCGGCAATTTCGGATAGGGCCGCACCGGTGCCGTTAGCCAGAGTGAGCCCTAAACGAGGTTTCACTACCTCCGGCGCCCTTCGGTATGAAGTAAAAACCTTCCCCTCACTAATGACAGCAAACCCTCGGTAGCAGAATCCATCAATGCTCCTCCTATAAACCTCACCCTGTAAGGATCCCAGCGTTTTCTGGGCTTACCTGAAGACGTTGCGCAACATGCTGTAGTAGCCCCGATCATTGTGGTTGCTGATGCTCTTCAGTATTCTTTTCATGCCCTCCTCGTTTCTAGCAGAGACGCACACCAATTCGTCTCCCAAAGAACCTGGGGGTTTTGCTCGATCAAACCGCTTGAGTAAAATGTGCGTGTTGGTTCCGCCGAAACCTGAGTTGTTCACTCCTAAAAGAAGCGTGTGAGATCACTACGGAGCATCACGAAACGTATACCCGCAAATTTCTCCCCCTCAAAATCCATCGGTTTAGTTACTACGGAAAGCTTCCCGTTGTTAATATCTGGTACATCTCGCCTGATCCGGGAACGGATGACGTTTGGTGGCATTCGGTTGGCCACCATCCCCATGACGACCTAGCGGGACAGAAAGTTGTTCGGTGATTCGGTTTGGTGATCGTACCTTTATCATGGAGGAGAGGCCGGAAACTGACTCGGTATGCCCAATGTTCGATTTCACGCTCCCGATCATTAAGGGAGAGCTTCGGCCTTCACAAAATGCGTCTGCTACAGCTTTGAGTTCTTGGGGATCCCCAGCTTTAGTTCCTGGGGAAATTTGGCAGTGAGCGTTTCTGAGCTAGGTCACTCACCAGTTGAGTGTAATTCTACGTAATTAACTTCGAGCGGGTTGACGTGGGCCTCTTGGTAGGTGCTTTGCATAAGTTCCCGTTGGGATGCTTCCGAAGGGTGTACTATGCTATCCTCTTTGAAACCATCTGAGTTGCATTTGACATGTAAGAGCTACAAGGTGAGATGGGGCCATTATCGTTTGCAACTTGGCGTAGGTTACCTGTGCGTAAACCCTTTTGGAATCTCTAAGCCTTTCGAGGAGGACTACGGCGACTGCCTCCGACTTGACATAGCCGCTAGCCTGCTCTCCGAGCACGTAGTTGCCCCCGGATCTATCCAAGATTCCCAATCTGTAAGACACACCTGCCGATTTGAAATGCTCACCATCCAAACTTACCGTGCAGTCATTTTCAGAACTCTGGGCGATAGCGCCAAGTTCACTCCCCCCACAATAGCGCGATCGCAACTCCCCGACAAAATGGAGGAAAGCCCTCGCTCCAATGCGTAACCGGTACCACAACAAGCTACCTCGAAGCCCACCGAAGGTCCCTCCAGCTGAAAATAGTGGCTGATCCTCTGCGCCATGGCGCTCCTCAAACAACTAAAAATACAACTTAATCGCTCGAAACTCTCCCCCACTCGTACCCCGTCATTCCAAAGTGCGGCGACTCCAGTCCCTTGTAAAACCAGTATCCTTCGCTCTCCTGAAGAGCCGTCGCCGTGAACACGCCGGTCCTCGTCCCGGTCAAGTCCGACGGGTTGAGTCCGGCGTCGACGATCGCCTCGAGTGTCGCCTCGAGCAGAATCCGCCCGCCCGGATCCGACGCATCCGCCTGAGCGCGGTGAACGCCGAAGAAACCCGAATCGAACCTGTCCCTCGCGTTGAGCCTACCGATTCGCGCGACATCCGTCGACCACTCCGTCGGCGTTTCGGACAACAGGTCGCGCTTCGCCATGAGACCGTCGAAGTAGTCGGCGATGTTGTCGCACTTCGGAAAACGGCCGGACATCCCTACGAAAACCTTTGGAGACGGTCTAAGAGCTTGCGCTTCTCACCTGTAATGACCACCTCGTCCATAGGGGCTTGATTACTAACCTCAGGCATGCTTGATCACTTACGACGAAAAAACGTTTGATAATGACACGGTTCTCTACTTACTTAAATTTTAATTACAATGAATGGTGTGCAAATGAGGGCAATTGACCCATGATCCCGCTCGCCATACAAAATAGAAAAAGAACAATACAGCTGGGTCAATTTTGTCGTATATTAAATGAGACCTCGAGTTTTCCTGTTTTGAAACTCACATTTTGATCGCAGAGTCTAATTTTACCATGGTCTAGAATTGCGTGTTAACACAGAATCAAAGGATATCGGTCTTTAGGATCTCAAAGGAGCTTATGATACGGAATATCGGGGCCTGAGCGTGTTACAGCCCCTAGATTTTCATACGCTAGAAGGAGTGACCGGGGGCATACCTACCCCACGAGTTAAATTGCAGCATCTGTGAAAGCGATGCAGTAACCGTTTTCTCGTTTTGAAGACCTTGCACCACAAACAAGGTCTCTCATTAGTTACGTCTTTGTTTTTCGAATGCGTTTGGAAAATCACGCCCTTAATTGCATTGTAAAGGAGTACTTTCTATTTTCTGTTAGTATTCGGCTGACCACAGACGCGTTAACATTAGCGTATTATTATCGCCCACTCATCGTCTCCTAATGTCATATCCAAAAGTCTCAAGACGTCAGGCTTCCGGATCACAAAATTTAGAGGGTCTATGGCAGTCCCTTGCAAGGTTTCAGACCTATAATCCTAGTACCTTCATCCCTACGAAATCATCGAACCTGGCGTCTTGAGACACTGAGAACTTGGAACGGCCTTTCGCTCTCAGATGACTCAGACTCACGGTCCCTCCCGTAGACTTCAACGTTAGAAAGGGCCGAGATGTCAGTTTCAGCATTTCAAAGACTGTATCTTACAGTCCTAGGTCTCAAAGTTCTAAGGCCACATGGCCCTGCTGCTTAAGGGTTTCAGGATCCCCAAGACAGTACCTAAGTTTTGGTCCTCAAAGCCCTCAAAGAAACAGTTCAATGTTTCACATTATCTCACAGTCTCGAAACAGAATCACAAAGGTTCATAGAGATTTCAAGGTCTTAGTATTAGAGCCCTAGAGTCGATAAAGCTCTATAGCAGTAGGCTTTCATAACTTCAAGGTCTTAGAGTCTCGGGGTTTTAATGCCTCAAAACTACAAAAACTCAAAAACTGGCAGTCTCGCAGAGCTTTAGGGTCTCTGGACTGCAGGACCATAGTATCGCGCTTTGGTTTCAAAGCGGTGATCTTGGAAAGTAGGTTGAGAGGAAGCACAAGGACACGCGCCCCCGCCCTCTTCTGGTAGTGACCTTGGAAAGTAGGTTAAAGTATAGCTCCAAGTTCGCAAATGCAAATGACCCTATTTTTGTGGTGTCATATTTCATTTTCAAGGACATCAAAATTCAATGACCTCATTTTGTAGTGTCATATTTCATTGTCGCCAAATCCTAAGGTCTATAACAGTTTCAGGGCATCTGAAGTCCCTAAACTCAACAAAACGTCTTATGAACTTCCGAAGCTCCTAATGCTTCCAAAGTACTGAGAAGCTTTACAATCTCCAAATTACCCAACGCCTTCCACTGTCCTCAAAGTCGTAAAGGTCTCAAACGGTTTGAGTCACTAGAAAATTTTAGACACTCTAGCCTCGAGAACTGAAGGACCTTCTGATCCTCAAGGTTAGCGATTTTAGGGACTTTGGAGGTTTTAGAGGCCTTGTCGCCGTGCGAATCATTGGATTGCTTGAAAGATATGAAGGCTATGGAAGGTCTTGCTAGTCAATGAACCCTTCAGAGTCTTTATAGACTGGTGACTTCAGACTGTTGAGGCCTTAGCATCTTTGTAGCCTTTGGAGATTCTGAGAAATTAAATATCTTGGAGACTATTGTACGGTGTTTATGGGGTTTACAGACTTTGGAGACCTTGAAAACCGTGGAAATCACCAAAACTGAGCATCGGCACTTCAGTGGTCTTGGACTATCAGGATCCTGAATATCAGGCTCACAGGGTCACGAAATTACTGGATGTGTGAAAATGTAAAACATTGCCCCTTTAGATGTTTTGACCTGGATATCACTAGACCTTTCGCCCAGGGGGGTGGTAAGGTCTAGGGGTATTAGAATTCTGATGCTCTGAAGATCTGGGACCCTGATATCGCATTTGAGACTTTGAGGCGCTAAAATTTTGGGGCCTTGTATACTGTGACCTTGAAGTTCTGACTACTTAAACCCTTAAACAGCGGGACTGTGACACTCTGGTACCCCAACGTCCTGCTAATCTAAAACACATACCCAAAGACATTTTAAAACTCAGGGACCATAAACCATCAAACTCACTTCCAAACTTTTGCATCCCGGATCATATAGCTCCATGAGCTCTCAGTATGGGAGAGTATTCCAAATGAAATTGTGAGCCCCTCTACCTAATCCCCCTGAAGTCATTTGTTCCGAGTCTTGGAGACTGAACCCATGCTGGTATTAGGAACGTTGGGGATAGAGAACTAAGACTGCTAACCTACGAAACCATGATACTCCTCAAAAGTTCGCGGTTGCAATGCAAACCACAAGATTCCTAGGGGCCCTCGGACCTTTCAAGCACGAGCTCCACATGTTTCAAAGCCTTGGGGTCAATCACAGTCCCAGAATGACATGATCGCTTCAATGTTGGTTCTAGGGTTTCATAGTCCCGGACCCTCCGGGTCTTGATGATCTGGTGTTTGACCAGCTTTAGGTAACAGAACGTTACCGTCCCAGTTTTTCAGGGTTCAAGCTAATGAAACCTCATGGTTTTGCAGCCGTAAGTATTAAAATGTAAGAATTAAAAGTACTAGACAGGTAATGTCGTGGATCTGAGACCTTAAGGTCTCAACAATTCAGTCTTAATACATCAGGACCACAAAAGTCTCACAGTTAAAAAGCTTAAACGAACATAACCTCAAGGCTCCAAAGTTGAAGGTCTCGCAGTTTCGGTAAGGGCTTTGGAATCCAAGGGTCTCACAACTCTCAAGGGTTAAAACCTCATGGTCGCAACCTATCATAGACAAAGTTTCCTAGGTTTTAGTTTCAAGGTCTTTGAGTCTCAAATTCTTGGCATCTAACGGCCTGAGGGGGCTCGACTCCCAAACTAAGTTTTACGAAGCTTCAAAGTTCCAATGTCTCTCAGTCTCAGAGTCTGAAAAATCAGTATTAAGCCTCAGGTTCCTAAAAGACCTTTGATACATGGGATTCCAAGACCGCAGTATCCTAGGTTCGTAGTTACAAGGTTTCAAAGCCTTACATAGGTAGAAGCTCTCAGATCTCCCGGGGTAAAACAAAACTAGGATCTTTAGACCCAGTACTGCACGGTGTTTCAACCAGGGTTTCGTAGCCTCAGGTCGTCAATGATGGTCCTAGCTTCCCATTTCAGGGGCACGTGGTCTCGCAGTTTCTATAAGGGCTTTGGAATCCAAGGGTCTCACAACTCTCAAGGGTCAAAACCTCATGGTCGCAACCTATCATAGCCAAAGTTTCCTAGGTTTCGGTTTGAAGGTCTTTGAGTCTCAAATTCTTAGTAACTAACGGGCTGAGGAGGCTCGACTCCCAAACTAAGTTTTACGAAGCTTCAAACTTCCAATGTCTAACAGTCTCACAGTCTGAAAAATCAGTATTAAGCCTCAAGTTCCTAAAAGACCTTTGATACATGGGATTTCAAGACCGCAGTATCCTAGGTTCGTAGTTACAAGGTTTCAAAGCCTCACATAGGTAGAAGTTCGCAGATCTCCCGGGGTAAAACAAAACTAGGATCTTTAGATCCAGTACTGCAGGGTGTTTCAACCAGGGTTTCGTAGCCTCAGGTCGACAATGATGGTCCTAGCCCCCATTTCAGGGGCACGTGGTCTCGCAGTTTCTATAAGGGCTTTGGAATCCAAGGGTCTCACAACTCTCAAGGGTCAAAACCTTATGGTAACAACCTATCATAGACAAGGTTTCCTAGGTTTTGGTTTCAAGGTCTTTGAGTCTCAAATTCTTGGTATCTAACGGCCTGAGGAGGCTCGACTCCCAAACTAAGTTTTACGAAGCTTCAAAGTTCCAATGTCTCTCAGTCTCACAGTCTGAAAAATCAGTACTAAGCCTCAGGTTTGTAAAAGACCTTTGATACATGGGATTCCAAGACCGCAGTATCCTAGGTTCGTAGTTACAAGGTTTCAAAGCCTCACATAGGTAGAAGCTCTCAGATCTCCCGGGGTAAAACGAAACTAGGATCTTTAGACCCAGTACTGCACGGTGTTTCAACCAGGGTTTCGTAGCCTCAGGTCGTCAATGATGGTCCTAGCTTCCCATTTCAGGGGCATGTGGTCTCGCAGTTCCGGTAAGGGCTTTGGAATCCAAGGGTCTCACAACTCTCAAGGGTCAAAACCTCATGGTCGCAACCTATCATAGACAAAGTTTCCTAGGTTTCGGTTTCAAGGTCTTTGAGTCTCAAATTCTTGGTATCTAACGGCCTGAGGAGGCTCGACTCCCAAACTAAGTTTTACGAAGCTTCAAAGTTCCAATGTCTCTCAGTCTCACAGTCTGAAAAATCAGTATTAAGCCTCAGGTTCCTAAAAAAACCATTGTTACATGGGAGTCCAAGACCGCAGTATCCTAGGTTCGTAGTTACAAGGTTTCAAAGCCTCACATAGGTAGAAGCTCTCAGATCTCCCGGGGTAAAACGAAACTAGGATCTTTAGATACCCAGTACTGCAGAGTGTTTCAACCAGGGTTTCGTAGCCTTAGGTCGTCAATGATGGGCCTAGCCTCCCATTTTAGGGGCTCGTGGCCTCCAGGTTTCGATCTCTTTTCAAGATTTCAGGGTTTTCGGTTAGAAGCAATTTCAAATTCTCGAGGGGGGGGGTTAGGGGCTGAGGGAAATTGGCCCAACCGAAGTGTCAAATTG